AAGACTCAGTGGGCGTAGTATGATGAGGGGAATCTATATAGACAGAGTGAAGTACACTTAATCTTCCCCAGAAAAACAAGCAGCGCACCTCGTCAGGTTGGTAATTTACTTGTATCACCAACCACGTTATCTGATCCAGGGGGCAGATGGTCCGGTAGCCGTAATCTCTCATCCGCTCGGAGTTGTGAAGAGATTGACACCTGACTCGGATTACGTCAGTGGGGATCTGATTATAGACGATTATCATGATGACGTTCCTGGGATCAACTGGAGGAGGTTGGTTCGTCTGGTCGGAAAGAACCGGTACTCCGGATTTGAGAAAATCAAAATCAAATACAGTATCTGATTCCCATCTCTCAGAAGCATTGCGTCCGAGCGATTTAGTACATGCCGCAGCTGCATACAAGTGAAGATCAGGTTCAGTAACTGTAGACATCTGTAATCTACCAAACCAACAATAAAGTTCTTTCAGAATCTCAGCTTGAACTATGGAGGTCATCTCTAACTTCATCAAACACAAAGTTGTACAAACTGGAATCTAAACGGACACAAAATGGACCGCTATGCTTCCCTCCATTGGTCTGTGTCAAAATCGACACAAGACCATTCAAGACCACTGGAGAGAAGCAGAGCAGTGATGTTAGTGACTTTGAGAACTGAAATTTTCAGATGTGTTGTAAAAATTTAGATCCATGGTGATTTGTCACATCAGGTGTTTTTTAAACAAAAGATAACAACGAAACATTTTTCAGGCTTTATGGAAAACTTGAAGTAGAATGAACCCATTTTGTCCTGAAATTCTATCGAGTTCGAATTGTTCTCATGGTAAGGAGTGTCATGATGAAGATCTCAAACCTATAGCTTATCTATTCACACCAAGGAACAAATGACTTGAGTTAAGAACTTCTTGCTTTCAGACCCAATGATATACCACGCGTGGTTCTGTCAAGAGATAGCACAATAAAATGAAACCCTGTGAGATCTGGTTGAAAGGGTTTGAGGAAGAGATAGACCTTTTTGTTTGCATATGGCTTCTAAGGTGAGATGAACTTACCGTCTGCACTTGGATCACCCTCATGCTCAAGGCTCTGAAACATGTCTTCATCTTTGGCAGGAAGTAGATGCATTTCATCCACTTCTTTCCTGAGAAATTTGTCTCCACTGCTCTCATTTTGCAGTGGTGAAACTGCAGAAGAGTTAGGCTTGTGTTGCCCAGATTCTGTATAATTTCCGGGAGTATAAAAGCTCACACCTTGAACAGTAAGATTAGTCAAACTCACTGTCAGCACAACGAAAATAGATGAAAACATCTTCGCTTTCATTTTCATCTCTTCTGAAGACAATGCGTAACTAGTTAACAATGGAAAGGAAGAACACAGCATAAATAAGAAGTAAAGGGAAGTGACTTGTCAATGGAAGGAGTGAATCTTCGAGTTTCAGATCCTTTTAAAGGTTTTGGTTATTAGTTTGGCACAACAGCAACATGTCAAAAACTGCTCTGTAGTGTCTGAAAGTCGAAGAGGTTCCAATCAGTCAAGTTTGAGTTTTGTCAAAACTCAAACTCTTCAAGAAATCAAACCAGAATATATTTGAGGGTCATTTTCATTCCGGGATCCATCAACTTAAGTTTTAGTTTCATCAACTCTCTACGTCTTCAAATTTATATAATGGATCCAAGAGTCTCTTTCATTTCAGGTTGCAAGAGGTTAAGTTTGAGTTTCATCAACTCTCTACCTCTTCAAATTTAACATACTGGATCCAAGAGTCTCTTTCATGTCAGGTTGCAAGAAGTTAAGTTTGAGTTTCATCAACTCTCTACCTCTTCAAATTTAACATACTGGATCCAAGAGTCTCTTTCATGTCAGGTTGCAAGAAGTTCAGTTTGAGTTTCATCAACTCTCTACCTCTCTAAATTCAATGTACTGGATCCAAGAGTCTCTTTCATGTCAGGTTGCAAGAAGTAAAATATGAGCTTCATCAACTCTATGCCTCTTCTAATTTAATATAATGGATCCAAGAGTCTCTTTCACATAAACAGAGGATAGGGATTAATCATCATCTTCTCAAGCAATAAAAGTTACTGAGTGAAGTGAGTGTTACAGCTCACACTATTATCTCTACCATGAATGAAGGCTTCAAGCTGAAGATGCTTGCGTGATTTTCCAGCTCGGCTTTGTTAGAATGAGTTAGATCCTAACGTCTCTAAACATAATCTTACAGTGCTAATTTATGTCAAAAACTGCTCTGTAGTGTCTGAAAGTCGAAGGGTTTTCAATCAGTTAAGTTTGAGTTTTGTCAAAACTCAAACTCTTCAAGAAATCAAACCAGAATATATATGAGATTCTCTTTCATGACAGGTTACAAGAAGTAAAGTTGAGTTTCATCAACTCTCTGCCTTTTCAAAAAAAATATATAGTAGATTCCAGAATCCATTTCATGTCAGGTGCAAAAAGTTAAGTTTGAGTTTCATCAACTCTCTACGTCTTCAAATTTAATATAATGGATTCAAGAGTCTCTTTCATTTCAGGTTGCAAGAAGTTAAGTTTGAAATTCATCAACTCTCTACCTCTTTAAATTTAATGTAATGGATCCAAGAGTCTCTTTCATTTCAGGTTCCAAGAATTTAGTTTGAGTTTCAAACTAAAATATATACTAAAAAATAGTTGTATACGTCACATCTTCAGGTTCTAATTTACAGGAGTTACATTTTGTACCTTTCACTTTCGAAAGAATTCAAGCTTTAAACTGGACAGAAATATCCAGAAATTAAAAAGCTCATTAATGTGATATCGGGGCACGAATATGTATTCGTCCTTGAGGAGTTCCCGGAATTGAAGTTTGCGCATGCATCTGAACAGCAAGAAGCTGATCAATGATCTCCGTCGCTTATTATGCACTTTCAAACGGAGAATGCTGCAATTGTCCTGAAAATGGTAGTCTTTTCTATCATATCACTTCAAAGTTGTGGCAGTTGTTTCCGAGGCTGTCTACGTTTGAGCTGAGATGAACAGTCTGAACGGTTGTTTTTGTATTCATGCCTACTATGATGTGCTTCTACAACAGAACCTAGATACGATCTAATTGACGTAATATCAAATATATGAAAATATACTCGGAGACCAAAAACTCAAAGGGACCAACCAAAATTTGGTTGAAGCATTAAATGAAGACCTTCCTACCTTAATGTATTATATAATTTGTTGATAATGCTGTACTAGACCTATTTTGCAGGTAACAGAAACGTGGAAACCAGTTTTGTTGTTGTAAGGTGCATAATGATCTTGCTACCAACAAACTGTACACCAAAAGTTTTCACAATCCTCCGCTGGTTCCCTTCTCTCGACTTGTTGTCAACGGTGGGTACTTTCATGTTGATCTCATCTCGAGGTTTGTTTCCGATGCAAAATCCTGGCTGCTATATCCAATCCATCTCTGTGGCCGGGAGCTCGCACTCCTGCTATAGAAGTTGCTGAGGCATTGCCGTTCTCTTCTCTCACGCATATGCCTGACTTCTGTTAAGAGCATCTATACGCGGGAAATTGGGCATGTTTAAGTGCTTGTAGATTCTTCAAGCCTTGTTCAGAATCCTTGTTACGTTCAACAGAGTCCTCGCACATCTTTCTCTCAACCTTTCGAAGTCTCGTTGTTCTAGGCTCTGGTCTCTTTCACACTCGGAACCCTTTGAAATTCATTACCAGCCTTTTGGAGCTCTGAATCAAGGCTCGCTAGCTTTTCACTAGTGGATGTCCTTTATCATCGTGAGGATTAACACGGTGTCCACCATGTGACCTTAATTGGCGTAGCGCTCAAGGATGATGTACATGATTCTAATTCGTGCAACAGGTCAGCGTCCTCGTCTCCAACAGTCTACGGTATCGGTCATCATCGGAATACATACCAACGAGGATCATATACTTGATGACATGTCCTAGAGGTAGAACTCAGAGTACGAGAATATGTGCACTGAGGCGGTTCTTCTGAGCATCAAGTTCCTTGTTATGACGGTGCATAATCCTTACCTCCTCCTGACTTTTATTTCATACAATCAATTGCCTAGATTTTGTGTCAGAGTCCTCTGAACAGCTTCTGGATATACCAGCGCTTACTTGAGTTTGTAAGCGCCTACCAGTGTCTAAGACGAGGTGCAATTCGTATTTGTATTGTCCCAGTGTACTTCCTCGTGTTGAAAGAAAATCTGGGCCTTGCTTTTATCTACGAACTTTTGTTCATCGGGGATGACGAATTTTTGGTATTCGTCGCTGGCATAAAGCTCCTGAAACGTCTCCTGACTAATGTTTGAAAGGTAAGGCACATCGCTAAGGCCCTGTTGTGAACTCTAAATCCCACGATGATTAGAAGGATTGTCAAAATGAAACCTACGGCATGAATGTACGTATGTAAACATTAATCATGCAGGACGAACGAGGTTCAGCAGATAGCTGGGTTGCAACATCAAGAGAGTGGAATTGAAAGCTGTCCGGAGATACAGAGGAACTTCAGCATCGGTAATGATCCTACCGATGTTGGACAAAAATCCAGAAACGATATTAAAGCAAGAAAGTGAGCGTGCATCTATCCGCTCCACCTCTTTCCAAGACGTCAAAAGCACACTGAAAATTCTGTTGTGCATAAGCCAGAGTCTAACCTCAATTTGCAACTGACAGTTCTCGCCTGGGGTTCAAGTCCAGTAGGAGCAGCCCATATCTCCCTTTTACGTGCACAATGAACATAAAAAAAGGCAGATGACTCTGTGTGGTTGGAATTAGAGAGCACTCCAAAGCCTTAGTCCAGAAAGAGCAGAAAAGAAAAGTGACCTTCGAAGCTGCGGGACAACAACCTTCCAATGACGAAGCAGGTAACGAAATGAAGTAATTCATGGGCAGTAGAGCAGTTTGCCATACATTATTGTTTCGATTTAGAAATTAAACACTGGAACCAAATCGAAATCCCCATTCACCATGATGTTCGATATAAAAACACAGAATAGAGCCCATCACTGAAACTGTTGAAAAGATACGATAGGTAATGGACGGCGGATGTTCATATTTTATCGTACCGTTTACAACAACACTCACATGTGGAGTATATCAATGAATTCTCGGTCAGGTTCGAAGAGACCACAAGGATTGGAACTAGAGGCATTGATAACAGAAAATCTAAATTTAACAGACAGCAATGTTAACAATGCATTTGAATCCGAACCACTGAGCCATCTAAAGGATAGATCAAATCAAATCAAATCCTTCATCTTCCTCCCGCAAACATCAGCCAATATAGAAACCCCCATATAGCTGACGGGTCGGACTGACGAAGGCTGCTCAGTGTGTAATACTCAAACTCATGGTTGTAGGTGCCAGTAATCAGCTGCGGTGTACAGAACTCATTTTTTTTACTAATATGTTACAATCGGGTCAAAATTGAAGGGATGAAAACGAGAACTCTGTCCTAGTTGACTAAGATCTAGCCCATACAGGCTTCCGTTTCTCGACCTTTTTCTTCCAAAATTTCTTCCCACCATCTTGATGTTTCTCCTGAATCTCGGAATACTTCCTCTTAGTATATGCTTTGAGAGAAGAATCAGTGAGCAGTTCATCTGCGAATGACATCTTACGCTCCTTCTTCGTCAATCGTCCTGAGTAGAAGTCCGCAGCTCCCTCTACCACGGTTCCAATTTGAAAGTACTTGGGAATTTCCTTGGAGTCGTTCGCCTTGTAGTGTCGCTTAGGGTCTAACACATTACGCATCTTCAGCAACTGAATTTCCCTCTTCATCTCCGGAGTGAGGGAGACAGCAGGCATGTCAAACCATTTCGCGCCAGCAGTGTCCTTCACAGTTTTCTTCCGAAGAGTGTGCTGCTTCTTCAAATCGGCAGGAGGGACGTACAGACCATCCTGTAACTCCTTATCCTTCGACCACAGAGAAGGCGGCTGCTGTGAACTACTACTCGCAGCCGCTTTCAATTTCTTACCGGGCAAAGGTAATCCGGTATCAGGGGCCCAAGATATATTCTTCGTCGCCATCACGCGATACCGACCGACGAACACGAGAGAAGACTTCTCCTCACTCTCGCTCTCCCTCGAGATGAAAATCGCCCATTACATCTGCACCATATCACTCAGACAGACGGTCTCGGCCCCTCTCGATGATGATGATTTCTCAACTACACCTGCGGCATGTGGCAGGCATGTGCAGATCGCTATCGCAGTGGATCCTCGATCAAGGTTTCCTGCACATTCAATCGAACCGGCCCCACGTTCCCCTGCGACTGGACTCAGCTGCACTAGCAAAGACGTCTCAATCTGTCACAGGTCGCAGATTTCGTTGGACAAACCCTAAGGTCGATCGAGGCCCATTTACGGCGCTGCATTGCCGTATTGTACTCTCCGGAAATGTCAATCGGCACATTGTGCCGGATTTGTGAAGAGTATACGGCCTGGGACAGACGGAATCGCGTGTGTCAGTGTGCAGCTGGGCACACTCGGTTGCTTTCCGGGATGGACCATCGTGTCTATTACGGCACAGGAATTCCGGAATCCGCATCCCTCGACCACAGCCAGTTTGTGGTGGGGCCCATGTTTCTTCGCGAACGTAGTGACCACGAGTCACTGTAAGAGTTTGTCATGCTTCAAACTGCGTTCGTGTGCGACTGACCGCGTGAGTCTGGGGAGTACCTCAAAGGACGGACTTGCTTCAGAGAACGTGGAGTCTCGGAGTTTCGGAGCTTATTGTCATTCGAAAGCGGAGAGATTGTGAACTACGATCGGAGGTGTATCGTCGTGAGGCCTGTCAATTGGCTTCAATTTTGTGGATTGTGCGGAAGGCGTGATTTGTGTTTGTAGTAGAGGAGGCTGTCACCGTTCGGCCGCAGGAGAGTGTTTCTACCAGACGGCCGAGGATTGCCTCGGCAGAAGGGGATGTTGGCGAATTGGATGTTTTGCTGCCATCCTTCTGTTTCGTGATCCGACTTAGATTTTGTGGATTCTTCTCTTTCGTCGAGTGTGTCGGGACTGAGGGATTTTACCAAGTCGGGCGCATCGGTCGACCTTTCATCATGGTGAGAATCTTCACATCTTCAGTCGAGACTGTTCTGGAAGGTAACCTAGAGGGGCAAGGAATTTGAGTAAGAGCAGTGAATTAAAGAGATGAGGACCGAATTTTCCATTTTGCGAGAAGGTATGGACGTCGAAACGTGTGTACTCCGTGAATGACGATTCAATGGGTAGAAAAACGTGGAAGCGCTCGATGAAAAGTCAAATCTGGTCTCCGTGATAATTCAGCGTGCACCTTCATGTTTTGTACCCATTGTGACCATTTGCACGAGTACGTAACTTGTATGCAAATTAGGGTCCCGCTCTGTAAGGTGAAAGTTTCAGGTCACAGAACAGTTTCTCTGTTGATGGAAGTTATGTCGTTTAATCATTTGTTGTTCTCATTAGGTTTTAGTACCTATGTGTCTTGCGTAAGAGGAATTGCCTGTGAGTAGACTGCTCGTTGTACCCTTTATATTTAACGTTGACATGTGAGAACGATGTCAAGTTAACGAAAATAAGTTTGGGAGATTGTAACGATTTGGATCAAACTACAAATATCCGAGGGCCATCGGTACTAAGTTTCTACGTGAGGGTTTGAAATTATTTTTTCTTTGGTCAATTTACAGACTGGGTGAAAACATGATTTACAATGCTTTAAGATAATCTGAAATGCACTTGTAGAAGAGAAACACTTGCTGAGAACCTCATTCACCTATCACAGAACAAATGCCACTAGTACTTACTAATACCCCGTTATAATTTCTTGCCATATCAATTGTCGAGGCTGACGTTTTCTGCTTTCCTTGCAGTCGACGCTTGCGGCAGCCAGGGCTGATAACTTTTACTACCCACCAGAATGGACTCCCGATCAGGTATGCGTCGAGCTTCTTTGGAGGTCATTTAATGCATTTATTTGCCTATTTGCTTGAGTATTGCAGGCGAAACAATGAGGCGACTGTGCTAACCACTGACGAAGCTTGTAAGACATCGACGAGGAGTCTGGACACTCTGAACGTTTGGATCAGTTCATTAACATGAATATCTGATCCATAAAAATTGTGATTATTGTAACTTGAAATGCAGGGAGGTCTCAACAAATTCCATGGGCAGCATGCTTTACGCGAGAGGGCGAAAAAGATCGATCAGGGCATTCTGGTCATCAGGTAATTAGGCCTCTCGTAATACTCAGGTAGTAGCAGAGTGTTGGTACCCGCAATACACTATTATAAGTATTATCGATCTTGACCTGCTAATGACATAGCTACCAGTTAATGTTTACGTTGTGGAAGGCAATTAGAAGATTGCGATTTGGGTCTGCTCATAAACTTAAGGTCCGAAACTATTGAAGGTAATTTTCAGGGTATCATTTAGATCAAGTATGGCCTGTAGTTTAATATTTTAAACCTGTAACAATCGAACGCTGATGAACCATGTTGGCACCTTAGTGCTTCAGTTCAGTCTCATTTACTCTCAAGACTTTTTGGCCCTTGATGCGGTACAGCCTTCTGCCTGTAGCGTTTAGAGGGAGGTAAAGGGCCACCCCTAAACGACCACCGTTAAGCGTTTACCTCCCAGAGGGAGGTAAACGATTAAGGGTGGTCGTCCAATGTTTCTTCCCCGCCATATGTGCCTTTCTGACATTGAGGAAAGTCGAAATTCAGACCTGCACGTCATGGAAAGCTCAACCCAATTTTTGTCTCTCTTGAATGGAACAGATTCGAGATGCCCTACAACATCTGGTGTGGTGGGTGCCAATCTATGATAGCCAAAGGGGTGCGGTTCAATGCAGAAAAGAAGCAAGTGGGAAATTACTATTCGACGAAGGTAATTTTCGCGTGAAGATCATAAATGTCTTATTTTGCCAGGGCATACATAGATTACTGTATTCTGACCATTTTAGTTTCAATTTGCTCCGACTCATTGATTGCTGAATTCTGTCGTGCGTTGGGAGCAGATATGGAGCTTCAAAATGAAAGCAGCTTGCTGCAAGCAGGAGATCGAGATCCAAACAGACCCAAAGAATTGTGAATATCTTGTCATCAGTGGGGCAGTAAAAAAGACTGAGGACTACGATGAAGTTGAGGCCGAAACAATGCTTCTTCCTGAACAAGGAGGTACAACAGTTGAAATCATCTTACTGCGTGGACTGAAGTATATATGCAAGTCATCTCTCAGATTTCAAAAGGCAGATTTTTGTGCATGGAAGCAGAAGGAGGTCCCACCAGGCGGTGTGAAGACAGTTCACCAACTAACTTGAACTTGTATTAAATTGCAGATAGAGATAAGCTTGTGGACCCCATGTATAAGTTGGAACACATGGGAGCAGATATACAGAAAGGGAAGGAGAAAGAGCCTCTCTTGATTAGATTACAACGTGATGCTGATTTGAAACACGGTGACGACTACTCTCGTAATAAAGCACTTCGTGCACAGTTGAGGGTCAGAACATAAACCGGAACCATCTGTTTTTTTTGTTTACCTACTAGTTTTCTGGTTGGTTTATTAGGTTTAGGTTTGACTTCAGGTTTTCAGAGTCAGATACAATCGAGGACGGCATGCAGTCGTGTAGAAGCTTCTGTCGCAGATTTGAATCTTGTTTGATTTGAAGCGTAATTTGTTCCCTGGATGTGTACTAACTCACCTTTGTGGATTATTTTCCAGTCTCAAAAGAAACGGGTGGCCGAAGAAGAAGCGGAGGCAAAGAAGATGGGTCTGGGAATCAGGTTGTTGCCTGTCTCTCAAGTAGATTTGGATATGGCAGCCCAAGTAAAGTTTGCGCACAAGTTTGACAAGAATAGACGAAACAAGAGGGCTGAGATCCAAGCATCGTCAATTTTTGCTCCTAGTCGCAAGGAGGTGAGTGATACGACGAAAGGTCATTGTGGCACTAGTGTGAATAGCAAGTTGCAGCTCCTTGCCAAGAGAAGGAATATGAATGTGCTTGGAGTTAGAGACCTAACGATTGGCAAGATAAGATTATCTTCTAAGTCGAATAGGGACAAAACACTGGAAAAGTCGTATGTTAGAATCAAACCATCTTCTTGACTAGGGAGAGTTATACAGCAAACTCAAATTTCATCATTTATCTAGGTTTCCTTCATTTGTACAGTACTAAGAAAACACTCTGGATCACCTGATCTACTTAGTAGATTACTCTGGGCCCTGTCAGTGGGCCGCTTCATTTTGGCCGCAGATTTTTGTTAAAGAGCACGGCATAAAGATCAGAGTAAAGAACTGAGTGCACATGAAATCCACTTAAAGGTTTTCCAAACAGGGGCACAGTCTCTGTAATTCGATTTTTGTCCAAAGCGGCATATGTAAAGCAAGATTTTGGCGAGTACCAACTTAGAAATTGTGGTTGGACTGAACCTACAGTATATAATACAAGGATCTTTTGGCCACTGTGAAGCTTTCACAGTTTTTTAGTAGTTTCCACTGCTTCGAAAACCTTGTGCCCTAAGGACAATACGTAAAAGTTGTACGGTCCTATGAACTTTGATACAATATTTTGGACTATGGACAAACTTTCTTTACTTGCGGGCAAGACGGTCCGAGGAAACCAAGCAAGGCCATTGACCTGTCGTTACACTGCAAAGTCACGTACTGCAGAGACCTAGCACTGCCAGGTCTCAGCAGGCTGGCAGAGAACTTGATCCTTTCCGTTCCTCTGCAAAGATTGAAGGGAGCCAGAAAATTGTTGGCTTTTTACCATATTCACATTCTCTATCTGGTTGGGGGTCGATAAACAACGGACTTGTGTTGGTTTAATCAGCGAAATGGAAGGACATTCAGAACCTGTGGTAGTTTCAGTAGTAGACTTCGATAGTCTGCCATGGATGCAGAGGACCCCAGCACGTAAACAGGCCAAAACACCACCACTACACCCGCCGATCAGATTCTGCGAAGTAACCTGTGCTAAGAGTTTTGCAAAGGAAGACACAAGTCGCGATTAAAACCGTCTAATGTACACACTGGGAAACGAACACGACAGGTCTTTTGAGGTGTAAACTTGGTCTTGGTTTGGCACTGGACGTCGCAGAGCAAGTGTCCGAACATGATCAGAATCAGCGAACCAGCAAACCACAATCGGCTGACGAAGTTCAAATTCAAGTTACTGCAAGACCTGATCACTCCCACCGCAGGGACCCACGAGGGGGAACGAGTGTCAGAAGGAGACACCGAAGCTCCAGGCCGAAGAATTGCACGGGAAATCAGACCTGAAGAGATTATGATTCAATTCACGGGGAGAGCACGAACTTTGCCGATCGAATCGATCAGGTCTGCGAGGCCCGCAAATTCATTGACGACGTACGGCGAGTTACGGCCCTGGATCTCGTCTACTCGGGGAATGTACGTCAGGTACGGCGCTCGTTAGGAGGAACGAAGCGCTCGTCCTACGGCTACGAAAGACTTGAACGGACTCGCGGACAAAGAGTGTCGCTGAGAAGGGAACCAGTTGTTTTAACGGGCAAGAGCCGGACGACCTTCGGCTGCGAGCGGGAGCACGTGCGTCCGACGGGTCGAGTCGCAGGTGGAGCCCGCCGGTTCGCCTGCGGTCCGACCCTTTGAACGGAAGGAAGGAAGGAAGGAAGAGCGGAAGAGGAGGAGGTGGAGGGCGAGCGCTTTAGGGCCGGACGGGAGCGAGAGAGCGACCTTCTTGAGGATTCGATCATCGGCTTCGGGACTCGGACTCGGAATTGCGTCTGGTCGCGGGGTGGTGCGAAGGAAAGGCGTTCGGTGGGAATTGGGGTGCACTGAGGCTCGAAGGTAGGGCGGCATGAATAAGTTCAATCTCCCACGGCGAAACATCGCCCGGGAGCGACGGCTCAAGCGCACTGAGCGACGTAAATTGGCTTCCGCAGGCTCGTCGTCTGCCACTAGGCCCACCGCCAGCAAGGTCATCTCTGGCAAGAAGCAGCGCAAGCTTGTCAAGAAATGGCGTCAGGTACAGTGGTTCTCTCTCTCTCTCTCTCTCTCTCTCTCTCTCTCTCTCTCTCTCTCTCTCTCTCTCTCTCTCTCTCTCTCTCTCTCTCTCTCTCTCTCTCTCTCTCTCTCTCTCTCGGTTTTTCTGCCGTCTCTGCAGTGTTTGGAAATTGTAGTCGCTTTTGAGTTCTGAGGATTTTCGAAATGTTGCTCGACGGAAGTCAGAGGTTGGCCTCGAGTATTTCTGACCGATGTTTATTGCACTAAATTTTTTTCCTTCTGTTGTCGATTTTCGGTCTCCCTCTGCCATCTGTGAGCACTAGGTCTTAGGTTGTCTCTGCTTTGGATAATGAATACTCGATGCGTACTTAAAATTTGACTTGATTTCCTTGACGACGTTTGTTTCCTAGAGGTCATGGATTTTGGTCCTGTCTTGAGTTCCATTGACCTGCAAGTTTTAGTCTTGCTCTGTAAGGTGTATGTTCCACGCTCGTTTCGGCCTCGTTAATAACGCTAGCTATCCAGTGTGAACATCCATGTCTCCTCTCCTGGAGACTCGTGCCAGTTTCTGTGTTTGAACGTTCGTCAATAGACGCCCATCTGAACTTGGGAGATAGTGTAATTCTATCTGCGAAGTGCGTGACAAGCTTGACCTTCATTGCTTTATTGACAGGCCCAGCGCAACGCCCTGGAAAGTGGGCTCGTGACCATGCAAGATATTGAGATGATGGTGGCCGAAGGAGAAGGTAAGCACCGTGGAATGTTATAGTTCGTTCATGTTTTTGGAGATGAGTCCATATCAAGGGCGGTCGGTCTTGCAAACATAAAGATTCAATCAGGTACTGGAGAAGTCTTGCAAGTACTCGTGAACTATTGCAAAGTGGTATGTTTCTACGTTTACCTCATTCATATGTAATGGCAGCTGGAGGAAGCGAGGAGGCTCCTAAGGTAAAATCTCCAAAGAACAAACGTGTGTTTAACGTGAAGAGGAGGGCGAAGATGAGGTTGAAATTGGCCGGTTCCTCAAACAAAGGTACTTTTGCGGACCAAACTTTACGACTCACTTGCTTCACTGTTATCAATTGTATATGATTTGTGACCAGCCAATTGACCCCACCTCAGTCAAGTGATTGTTCGTGCCACTTTTGTTACGCTTATCCTGACTGGTCCTGCCAGTCTGAGGTGTTTGCAAGCTAATTTGAACAGGCCATTTCTAGCTGCGAACAGTTCAGTGGCCATGGAAAGTTTCATACGATGTGTCTAGTGTTAAATCACTAAATGGCCTGATTTGGACATACATCTACAAATTGGTTTTGCAGGCAAGACAACAACCGAAGCCACTTCTGCGGATCACGATGGTGACACCATGATGCAATGAAGAGGGAGGCCTAGTCGATAGTGTTGCGGGTGGTAAACGTCAGACGCTGGTACTGTAAAGGATTTTCTTCGCATATTCTGCAGGCTGGAACAGTGTCATCAGCACCAGAAGCGTAGCAGAGCACGACTGAAATGATTCATTCTTTATCCTTGAACCTACGTCTCAAGATTCAGAGAAGAGGTGCACAGGACTTTGGAAGAGCACATTGAGTGGGTTCTTTCACTCTTTGCAGCGGTGTTTATGACTATCATCAGTGAGCCATGGCTGATGCTCATCAGTGAGCTGAGGGTTGGTAATAACGACCTGTGCTGAACCCGTGAAACTTGTACATTTAGTAACGGCGGGGCACTGAAGTTACCAGGCCTTGGAGGTCTATTCTGATCAAACATCAGGAACACTCACATTGTTGTCTGTGGGCGTTACTTGGGGTTCCTAGCACCATTTTTCTTGTTGTAAGGTAGACTTGCGTACGTGGTTCAGTTGGTAGTTGCATGGTTGGAAGACAATCTTTGTGACCGACGTGACTCTGCGCAGAAGAAAATACAGGAATTTTTTTGAACTGTGTCGACTGGATGGATGTGTGGTACCTCGGAGTGATACCTGTCAGAGCTTTTCTGTCCCTCATTTGAAAGTTTGTGGCAGCAGAGGCAAAATCCAAGAGTTATACATGTAATTTACAGTTCCCACATGGCAGATGCTGCGACGTGAATATTTCGGAAGGTTGAGGATACCTGACCCAAGGTGGAGCTTTCCGAGTACTGCTTCGGCAAGTCGCTGTTCTACGTGGAGTAGAGAACTGGATGCTGCAATTAAGAAGCTAGGTTCTAGCCGTGCTGGATTGCTATGTCCTTTGATGTGACACCTCAAGAGACTTTTTCACTTCTGCCTCTCACCTATAGCGGTTGTAGTCTTGTCTACTGCCAATTTTATTCACGTTCACTGTTGGCACGAAAAATGTTGTTCAAGTTGACCCTGTCGCTGCAAACAGTAGGATGTCATTCACCGGTGTTCAAGCACGCATAAAGTTGCTGAAAGAAGTTCGTGCGTGATCCATGGTCTTGTGCTCTCGTTCTGTGATTGTCGCTGTTCCTACAGGCTCATAATTACGACTGTAAATGCAGCGAGGTGGGTATCTTACTAGACCACCTCGAACTTACATAGAAACGCATTTATTGATCACCGGATGTATCTACGGAGCCATATATAATATTGGGAGCGGCTAGCTACCTCTCAGTTTAAGAGAGTTCGTTCAAGAGTAACAGACAAGATGGACTCTTTTGAGAACTTCATCTTTCTTGTTACTAACATAATCGTGCGTTTAAATATGACGGCGTAGACCTTAACTCAACGTGTAACCCGAGAACACACAAAATGAGTCTTTTGATAACTCCAATTTTGTTTTAGCCCTTAACTCAACGTGTTACCCGAGAACACACAAGTCGAGCTTCTTACAATTATATCTTTGCTGTAACTAACCCTAGGTTTGCGTGTAATCACTCACTTTATCTGAACGTGTAACAGAACGTGAGAAATCTTGAAATGAGATAACTTTGACCAAATACAGACCTCCACTCTTAAGAAATTTACATAATAATTGTACTAAATTTAGATAATTTTTTGTAGTGTGATATTTAATTATCATGATATTAGATACTTACATTAAATAATAACGGATCATTTCCAAAAATGGTATGCATCCGTAACATGTTAACTAAAGTTTACAGTTTCGATATTGACACCAAGCGAAGTATCATGACTGTACAAGTGCAAATTTAGATTACCGACGTTAGTCCGATTACGAATGTTTCGCCAAAATGCGAAGGCACTGTGGAAAGGAAAGCACAGCAAGGTATCAAAGTATTTAAGTCAGTTCCAATAAGATTCTCCCCCAGCAGCATGGAAGAGCTTAAAATACAGATGGTCCATTCCACCACGGAAAAAGGTCCTCAAGCAAACAAAATTCAATCTTAAATTCACTTAAGCAGACAGCATCATCATTACACCAATCGCAGATAAGCATAAGTATTGGCGGTAAAATACTGACTCAGTCTCACTACAGGTTGGCATGCATTTTTCTTGTTGAGTATGTCGGAAGGTTACGGGCAAGGTTGTACAATTTACTCTTAGCTTATTATGTTAATATTATATGTAACATGTAGTGATGCTCATTGGCCAAGTGGAAATCCATTTGTTAGTCAAGTTTATAGGACCTAGCATGTATTGCATTATCATTATAATGAGCATTTGGTCTTGAGTTGACAAACAAATTTTGTGCTAAGTATATTGGCGCTAAAGAGCTATGTGATACCTCGCTTTAGTCAGAAGGGTATATATGTTATTCACAATTGACAAAAGTATGATACTAACCCTCCGAGTGATATGAATTATACTGAACAACATTATTTCATCATTATACTGAATATGAACATTACTTTTATAGAGTTCCCGTCGATTATTTTATCTACCTGTACTACAGCGTTTTAGCCACACACATTGATTTATAACGCAAGTCAAATATTTCTTCAACATATGAGCTTTTACAATCACAATTATTTCACACTATCTGTGATATGGAAGTATCATGCATGTATTTCTATTATTATGTGGATCATTAGTTCAAATTATGTGTATTTTGATCCATAATTTTTTGTTGCAGGATGATTTATATCATTTTTGACATCTTCCTTCAATGTCATGATCCATATCCAATAAAAACATGTTTGATAAGGTTAGCTAGCAAGTTAATTTGACTGCTAGATGATGTTGATTGCATAGAAATAAAATATGATGGAGCATTGTAACACCCGATCTAATAACTAGCTCAGCACATCTGCTGAGCTATCATGTTAATGTACTAGATCACCTCTAGTGGTCGACAAAATACTTCTTGGTGGTGCAAATATGAGATACTTGTGCTGTTGTTTGATCAGTGTGCTGTTGAGATCAGTTTTTACGTTTGAGATGTATTAGATTTATGCCCCCCAAAAAATCAGCAGCAAAAAAAAACCTAAAACCGACATGTAAATTTGATTTCTTTCTCCCATACTATTTACTAATAAATTCATAATAACTACAAATATTTGATATTTCATGATCCATGGATAACACGAATCATTTTTCACCGTTTGAGTATAATTCTGTCATAGAAACTTCTCAATCTTTCAATACATTGCTTGCAAATCCTCAACCTATGATTTCCATTTTCAATTTGACTAGTAACTCCACAACATGAATAGAGCTCGAAACTTTTCATCTCTTTCTATCTGGAGCTAATCCAAACAACCAATTATGTTAGGGAGATAATATGAACTATTGTCTTAAAATATCTCATTTAAAAAAAACACTTGGACTTGGAAGAACATTAAAATATATCAAGAATCAATCTTTGTTTAATTCTTAAACACAAACTTCAATGATTGAGATTGCTGTTTACGTCAGAAATGAGCGTAAAATCCGTTTTCATTGCAAATTCAAATGTCGAAATGAAAACTTTATGTTAGAGACTAACAGTTAGACATGAATAATGATATTTAAAATCACACATTCCTAATATTTTGAACCATATATGAAATTTAAGGATAAAGTTATTGGCTCAATAATACACAATGTAGTAGAATATTATATGTCATCGTTGATTTCATATCATATAATGCTGAAAATACATATGAGCGCACCAAAGGTGATCTTAGTAGTGTTTTCCATCTATTACAATAAGAATATATGAACCTAATCCGTCAAGCTAAGCTCTGTCAGTCTCTAATAAGTAGATCAAGATTGATAGCACTTATTGTTCCTGATATACTTAGTGCTAACTCTAGCAGATCTTCTTGGAACTATCAAATAACTCTACTATGAAATTGATGTTTATTCTACCAATTATGTATGCAAACTTTTCCAATACGTTTAACTAACCAGATTGTAACGCAAATGTACATTCGAGGCATGGCAAGATACTTACACAATGTTATCTTAACATAACCAAAAACTGTCCATTTCAAAAAGATACAGCAAAGTTACTAATGTAGCCCTTATTAAGTAACCCTTGTGAGGAAAGGAAAAAAAAACCTTACAAATTAGTTTTATAGGCTTATGTTATATGAATTAAGATTCTGGGAGTAATAAATAAGTTGCGTCATGCATTGACTCGATAGTATAATCTTTGCAAATTTATTTCTGTTGGAAGTGGACATGGTTTGTAGTCCTAACGATCTCCAGCAAAACAGAATTTGTTCACAATATGAGTATTGGATGAGTTAACTGGTTCAAATGTAACAACCAAAAATATCTTCAATACACTGTACAGACCTCACATTCCCTTATTTTTTTTCCAAACGAAATTGCATGTGGCAAGCCCACTCTGATCACTTGAAGTTCATGTCCCAAAGAGATCGAAATTTCTACATTCATAAATTTTGGTTCTTGTGCCGCTGCAATAAGTTGACTCCATGAATTATATCATCTTATTGCATCAGCACAAGTGATGGTTAGATGTCTTTTCGTGCAAAGAATGTATTCTCACTCATGTCTGCCGGCAATAGGCTGACAGTGGTAAGATTCACACCCTGGGGGAAATTTACTTGGCGCGCGATAAAAGTAGAATGTTAACAAAAAATAAGGAAAAGAATCACTTGACGCTGATGAAGTGATTTCTTCCCCAACATTGACATGACAGAAATTCTGCATCTCTGAATACTACTTTACAAACTCATCCACAACACTGTTACTGTAGCCCCATGTAAGTCTCGTGCCTGTGTCAAAAACTACTATTTGGACAGTGTATGAAGGTGAGTGAACAGCTAAAACAGGTTTCATCTTACCAATGGACCGACATTATTAATCTTTGTCGATCTCATGTTAAAAGTTGTGGCATAAATTACGGACACTAGGATTACGTTTCGATGCCAGACTATCGTGCAATTTGGGGAATGGTTTTCCTTACGACGGAGATGCATGTGTTCATCAGCAAGTTCAGGATGTCCAAGAACAAGGAAAACAAAAACCTTCTAAAAAACTCTTTTCCTCACTGAAATTTACTCTCTGCATTTGCGGGACATTAAACAATTCCAATTCTCCATAATCTTCCAGTGTTTAACTTGTATATCTGATACTTGGATCATTAAGAACTTGGGAGATAAAATCATGCCATATTTGTACCGTCTTCCTTCGGAGGCACTTCAAGAATCTAGCGTCCGTTGGCGCAGATGAATTAAAAGAGAGACAGCCTACATAGAATCTTGGTGGTCCATCTGGAGTAAGTATATACAGCCACATAAGCTTACACGCGTGGCAATACAAGGGCACTTGAGGCGGTTAAAGTATATTAACCACTACACGAGCTTTGACGGATGAGAAAGCTACACCTAGCCAAGTGCCGCGTAATCCGTACTTCTTGTACAGAATGTCCCATACACATGCATACGATCAGAAGTGAGCTTCTTTCGGCTTGTTGCTTTTCCAGAAACATCGGGAGTTGCGGTTTTATGAAAACGCACGTGGAAGCAATTCATAGAGTTTCTTCTAAGTTCTTGGTCCTCCGTGTCTATTTGAAATAGAGCCTGGTTTCCTCGAATACAAGAAATGGTATCTTCCATCTCCCCATGCAGGTCAAACTGAGACTTGAGCCAGTGAAAGCGTTCGTGACTAACTAACGTAGTATCACGAGTGGGTAAACTTCATGGAAGATGTTCCCCAAAGAGAATCAGTTATTGGGGATATTGATACTTTCTGCTTCCTGGACTTTTACTCTGGATATTACGTGGCACGAAGCACGAGTGAAGGAACCAGATACGGATAGGGAAACACAATCACCTCATAATTGGATAAGCAACTGTGTCGGTCTCCATGGGATATGTTTGATATTAAAGAATGAAATGGGTAAAGATACAACAACCAATTCTGGTCTTCTCCAGAAAAGGCAAATTTAGCTCTTCCAAGCCTTCTTACCACGAAACTGGTTCTTGCCCCGACCCTTCATCCTTTTCATTTCAGCATTTCTCGCCACCTTCGACCGAACTGCAGCCAGAGGTAGTGCCTTCCTCTTGTTCTTTTGTTTGTTACTCATACCTCCGGTCTGTTTCACATTCACGAGGCCAAGAGGCCAAGATTACTATTGTGAGCAACCACTTTGCGTGAAGAAATTGTCGAGAAGGACAGAAAGAGAGGATGATTAGCGGCTGAGAAAGGAACATACAGACGAGACTAACCTTTTTCTGCTTAGTGGCTGTGCGAGACGAGTAGGGAGTGCGGTCTTCACGACCTGCTTTCACCATAGCAACCCTCTCCTCCTTTTCCATTCGCCGTTTTACATGAGCCTGAAAAAAATAATCCATGGTTCGTGACTGGGCAAATGCCAACACTAACTCAACACAGCACCGACACAGATGTATCTAACGAACAACTTTCGCAACTTGGAACTAATTGCGGCCTAACTAATGAGATCTGTACAGCAGAACCAGACACCCACCTCCAAGACCGCAGGGTCCACTCGTCGGCCACTTAAATTATCTGGATTTGTCAATTTAACGGATGTTTCTTTCCTCTTCTTTCCAGCCTTGGTAAGTCCATGATCTGATAAAGCTTCCTTCGCCGCTCTTTTGGACTGAAGATCACAACAATAAACATCTCAATGAAGGAGAAGTCATTCCTAAACTCCGTTTGCAAGAACATGTCTCTCGCAACGAATATCTTAAATCCGCGATTAGACACCTTCAAAGTTGCATCCAAGCACTGCAAACATTTACTGTGATAGACCTCTTACCTTCATGACACGGATTTTTTCATAATCCTCATTAGAAAGGATCCCATCACCATCTTTACTTTTAATTTCTGAAGTATCAATGGATTTTGAGACCGCTTGCTTTCTCAGATTTCGAAGACTTTGTCCCGTGCTAGGAGTTACAGGAGTTCCTGGAGTCCCAGGTGTCATAGGTGTCCCAGGAGTACCGGGTGTCTCCTGACCTTCAACTTTCCTCTTCTTCTTGGCTCTAACTGGAGTCTCTTCTCCAGTAAGTTCAACTCCCTCGTCATCTTCATCATCCCCTTCTTCATCATCATCTTCATCATCTTCGTCTTCACCCTCCTCCCCATCCAGATCACTTGTTACTTGCTCATCTCCGCTTTCTTCCTCTTCCAAAGTCAGCACACCTTCGTCGTCGTCATCATCATCTTCTTCTTCGTCCTCACTACCTTCACCATCCTCATTTTCGCTCTCAGTGTCTTCAAGAAGTAGCTCTGCTCCAGGAACACCTGTAGCTACTGAGACCTCACCAAAAGCTTTAGGCTTCGCGGCGAGGTCCGCATTGCGTCCTCTGTCCTTCTTCCCCAGCATAGACGGCATGAGCTGAAAACAAGAACATAAATTAATAATACACAAGGTTCAATGCTCCATCACGAGGTATATTATCTTTCACATGAATCAAGTCTAGCATGTTAACGGACGGACTTGTGTACGATCAGCAACCATAGAACTGAAAAAGCTTCGTTCACTACATAATATCTAAAATTGTGATGATACCTCCCGGTAAACGGCAATGACGGAGCGAGCCGCAGCTGCGACCGCCTTTTCCCTATTCTTCTTGTAAAGTGCAAGATCTTGTAATAACTCTGGAGTCATGATCTGCAGGAAATAAAGAGGTCCCCAAACGAAGGAGAAGTCAGAAGGGTTTAAATGTCTTGTAACAACTGGAAATCATATATAGATGATAACGTACACACACAGTAAGGTCAAGAGGTGGAAAAAAAGACGGGAAACCCAAACTAGTGAATCAAGCCACACAACGCCTGAATTCCGCATCTTTACAGCACTGGCTGGACAAACACAGAAAATCAGAAAGATTTTAAGGGAGCCCCATTTTCATTTTCGGCAAAAGCGGATTTTTGTAAATGCCCTGCAGAATGATCCAGCACTTTCCACTTTACTGGGTACAACTCCAATTGGGGTGGATATCATACCAGAGGCACTCGCATACAGATTTCGCGGACAACGTTCAAACCCACAGCTATCACCTGCAAACATATCCAAGAGTGTACTAAGTTATTGGGAAGCTCCAGTCTTCAATCATGGTTCCCTTCGAACTTTACCGACAATAAGCCCGGGGTAGTGGAGTGCATATGTACTATTACAAAGTTTGATTGGCTCAACAATCCGTACACTGTGGGTATCAAGCCCAACAGAGACAGGCGAATAGACCACCATCCATGACTTGTAGGTAACAATTGTACGAGTATAATAAGGCCAGTACATTAATATAAGAGACTGTTATTTTCACGTCTAGACAAATAAATAGCGATTGATGGAGATTAAATTCTAATAGAAAGCAGTGGCACCACAAGGAACAGACTGTACCTCGGGACGAGCGCGGTCATGCACGAAATGATTTACAAGTTGTCGAATCACAGGCTCGATTGCGTCTGGAGGGACCTGCATTTGCATCCAAATAACTCTTCGTCAATGGCTAACAGAGTTTTATTATCGATCTCTACTGACGTGTATTGTTTTATAATAAGCGAATGTACTCTGTACACGAACAACACTGTTAGAGGGAAGCTGGCACGCTGGTCGGCATACCAGGTCATGGCAAGCTTGAACCGCCGCTGCTAGCACCAAAGTTACATCCCGCTGGTGAGGCTGCATGAAAAAATGAAAAGATGATTAGCCTTGTCTATGGTTCCAATTTGTTTGCTCGAGCGCACCCCTCAGCCAAAAGGTTAGTCAGAGGGTCTATGGCCTCCAGGCTAGAACAGGAACATACCAAAGGGAACAGTTTGTTTGACTGAAATTTGCACATAGGTAAACGTAATAAGCACGTTCGCAATTTGAACAAAGGACAGTACACAAACCTCAATATAGCGCTGTAGAAATGGATAGAAGTTCAGCAATATCAAGCGATGGATACCCACCGTCCGCGATATGAGCTGCATCATCATCAGCTTAACCTGCAAAGTTCACGACAAAGAAGATCTAGAAAAGAAACAACAAAAATAGCCTTATAAAAGAAGCTGAATAAGAACACCCCAAAAAAAGCCTGTAAGGAAGACAATGGATTCAGCCCAAGTATCTACAAGTCATTCAGGACAAAACAGAAAAAAAAAAATTTATTTCAGACTGACAATTCATGTACAAACTTGTGACAACATCGGGCTTGTGAAAGAGAATCAGACGACAAGCAGCCGCTCGTTGAGTTACCTCGAATTTTTCATTGCAAGACCGGAGACGTGCAAACAGCTTTTCCGCAAATTCCTGCGGGGAACTCATGTAAAAAAGTTACTAAACGTATAGCAACAACATGAACTGCGCAATAAGCAAATCCAATGGCCTCTGGAAGTAGGCCCATAATAAGGAGTAACAAGTCCAGGCTTAGTGCAAGAAATTAGTTTCTGTAACCTGTTCTAAATTCGTACAGAAGAAATCAAAAACTTGTTCCGCAATCCAAGAAAGACAGCAACTATACATGTACAACAGGAAACTGCCAGATGATTCAGGAATGGGTTTCATGGAGGTGCATGTGCAACGCACTTGAGGATCAACCACATGCTGTAGCGGCGCATGGCTACCTTGTTCCATTTCACGAGAATGAGTACGTTGCTGCTTCTTCATACTTCGGATTACTCTTTGAAGTTTTGCCTGCTTCTTTCTCTTACTGGAGACAGTACCCTTGTGGTAGGCCTGGAAAAGAGAAACTTCAATGCTGACAAATAGCACACATTCGCAGGGACCTCAATAAGTCCTGTTTTACGCTCATTCATTATGTACTTCATGTTCCGAATCGTCAAGGAATATTCTTGGTGTCAATCTATATCATGGTTTTTATCTCGACAAGCTAATAAAATCTCCGAACATGTAGTTTGACATAGCTTTTCAACTTCTTGCAACGAATTTGTCATGGCACTCTAAACATAGTGACAGTCACATAGACGCAACCCAAAAGTGGAGAGCATTCGAACTAAGTACAGAACAGGGTCTGCAAACACACAATGAGGAATATATACTGCCGACTGGTGGCCTGAACTAACCTTGTAGATGGATTCCCGGTCCACGTTCACGGATAATTTAGCAGGGTCTTCTTCTTCATCACTGGATTCATCTTCCTCTTGATCTTCCTTTTCCTGGTCGTACCCCAGAAGGAAACGCAGAGAGGCAATCATGATCCTGCATTCCAATTATAATTTATTCAATTTCAAAAGTTTCGAAAGAAGTAGAAAGTAATTCGATTTCTTAAGTCCATACAAAGAAAGAAACGTCGACGCTGAAATTTCACGCTCCATACAGAAGCTTTTGACATCGAAAGTTGCCAACCTGGGTGACTTGTGCAAGCACGCTGAGCAGATTGCGTCTGCTGTTCGCTCATCAGTCCACACTTTTCTCCGATGAAGTTCCGCTAGTACAACCAAAGCTCTCTTAGCCTTCACTTCCTCATCACCCTGCGGCCATAGAAAACGCGCGTTCTTATTTACGATGACGAAAACTAAAGCCACATATCTTATAAGAGAAACAAACGAACGAACGATCGATTAAAAAAAACTCCATTTACTGCAAGAACTGATTTCTTTTCTGCAAATCTTTCAGCTTTCTTTAGGATATGTGGTATCCGCATTCCTACTTTACACTTCTGCAGACTACTGGACTGATGTGCACGTGAATAATTCGCCTACTCGGTATGATAAATCAAACAGGATCCAGCAGGTCCACATACCTTCAAAATGTTGAAAAGAAGATTCTGCGCGCTCCGGTTGAATTGCTCATTCTTATGTTTGAGATTCGTTCTTCGGATGTCATGAATGATGTGCAAAAACGCAAGCTTCCGTAGCACCCGGTCTCCAACGCACTGAAGATCTATCAGTATAGGCAGTATCTGAGTCAACTCCACCTTCTGCAATCCAATCGCAGAGGGCGGCTTAGGGAAAAACACAGATTCTTAAACACTCCTGCAAATGACGAGCCTAAGCCCATAATATATGGATAGCGGAAACAGAAACAAAACCTTGAGTAAAACCTGCAGCTAAGAGTCAATCTGAACCTTTCTGTTGCGCAGCAGGATCAGCGATTGAGTTAATTGTCGGCGAAGATGTGGTTGTAGAGACTGATAATTACTTAAAACCTGCAGAAGCTTCTGAGGTAACTCCTTCAGATGTTGAGGATAGAACGGGGCCATATGGGCCAAAAACATTGCAACATCCGCTACCTCCTTGGCTGGGCCACTCTCACCGGCTGGAGTAGGACCAGTTGGAGCTTGAACAGGAGCTTGTAGCAACAAAATTGAGATGCAGGCGTCGAAGTGCCTGAGCTGTAGCAAAAGCTCTTCCTCGTAACCAGGAGGATCCTTCTTCATGCGGGCTTGTAGCGATAGAAGGTCTCCATTGTCTATATTCCGTCCACCAGAGGCTGCAGTGATTCCTCCCATTGTATCTAGGGGAGTGAATTGACCTCGAATCAAAGCCCTAACCTAAAATTACTTAGTCCCATAGACTGCAAGCGTTTCCTGCAGATGACCAAAATATATTAAAACCGATTAATCAAATTAAGCTGCGTTATTGAGCTCACAGACATGCATTATAGGGTATTTTCAGCTTCTTTCAGGCAACTATCAGAGCCCTCCGATACCATCAGTACGAAAAAACGAAAGTGGGTGTGTCGAGAAGACAGAAGGACATGAAAATGATAGTACAAAAACCCTAAAATCTCAGCAAATACAGCAATGAAATAGAAACCCGTCGTACGCGATACAATACAGAGTGTTCACCATCTGATGTCCTGGAGCGTTCTAGCATGAAAAGCTGTGCTTCCTCAATCATAATTCTTCTCACTATCAGTAAACTTGAAATCCTTTCTGTGACTAGTCAGCTCAGGCTACAGGACCCAGAATTCTAGGATCTGTCTCTATCATGCATCAGTGATTAATTCCGAATTTTAGGTTCAATTGCATTCCGTAGCTACACTCTCTCAAAGTCCAGGTGTTTCCTGGAAAATACAGGGGAGAGTAACCACGGAGAAAATTACAAATTGAGACGAGAGTGTGTTCGAAACCAAGTTGCGAATTCTTGACTTTGACAGTCGTGTTCCACAACTAGCGAGAAAGAGATACTTGACGCTGTACCCATTGACTGGTACATGCATGTTTCAATCTTATCATGTCGGCTTTGAAAAGAACTGCTGAGTTTCTTCTTCAAATAGAACAAAAAATTGCTCATCCAAATTCAAAACCTTACAATGAGGACAGACTTAGAATTTACGGCGAATGTCTCCATTTCCAGTTCACAGCTTCAAGTAAATAATCAAGAAAGAAAACTAGCAATGTGGACTTAAAAAGGTGAAATGTGAGCAACTTCTGCTCAAAACATTGGACGAACCTCTAATTGTGTACACCTTCTTGATCAGAAGCGGATTTCCGTTCACATACGCATACACCAGCTGAATCACCGCAACAATATACTTGGAATCGAACAGGACGATCAAATCCTGACAATCTTGCAGCGTGTCCCGAATCTCGTCCGGAGAACGAGTTCGGACGCAGCGTGAAAGGAAGGTCGAGTCGCCGAGACCTGTCCAAGAGGCCCAAGGCCGCGCCACCGTGGCCAGCGGCGCCAAAGTTCTCTCCCTAATTTTACTCCCATAAGCGTGATGTCATGTTCTCTAATTGTTATCATGCCTGAATTGCAATTCAATTGACCAAAACCATCCTTTTGGCTTCCTACTTCCGAACCCGCGGGCAAGGGACGGTCTTCGTTGTTGTGTCTGCCTGTCGGGTAGTCGAAGCTTTCAAGAAGTTGGCTTGTTCTGCTCGGTCCATAGTCTCTCTCGCCATATAACTTTTCTAAGCAAGGGTGTTTTGGTTCATCTAATTTCATAAGTGTTCTGTTTTAATCTATTTTTGTTCACTTTGATTTACAGGGATCCTCCATTTCAACATAGAAATATATCGGACAGTTGTGAGCTCTTTAAGGTTTCTTCGTAAGCTCCATGTTCGAACACCATTCAACCCGCATCATTGAGATATATAAAGTGTTGAACAATATAGTTTCCATTGCGATCCTATTGTGGCTAGGCTAGTGTCTCTCTTTCAGGCTTGGGATCATCCCTGCCCCGCTTCTTACTATTTACTTGGCCCCAACTTCTTCTGAAATGACGAGGAGTGGTAGTTCTCGCTTCCAATTACATAACTGATGCGAAAGTAATTGACCATTCGTATAGTCATTAGGGGTTTTCGCATGCCCATTGCAGTATTCCTTACCGCGTGCGAAACCAAGGTGTTGTGTGCCACGTTGGCTGCCCAGAAGGTCATACGCTTGGAACGGACATTGCGCAGTCAGAACTGCGTATGTAAAGACCGGTTCCAGTATTTGACCTCAGGCCTTGGTATCATACATTACCATGAGCTTTATCACATGACGGTGCCATGTAAGCTTTGACACGAAGTTAGCTTCGGACGATTTCCCCTCCCTCGGTCCGCAGCTGACTTCGAATGCATGACAAATCCTCCTCCAGCATCGACGTTCGCTTTGCGCATATTGGCAATGATGTCGGTTTCCGTTTCGGATCGCAACCATCTTCCAGACAGACTGCCCTGGGCTAGTTGTGTATCGTGCGCTTTCGAGAGAGCGTTCTTTCTGCTGCGAAAGATTCGGCATGCACTGACATTTGTGGCTCCGAAGAGTACCGATTAGAGGGGCCTTCAGTGGACGGCTTGTGTAGTCCTGAGTGTGAAGTTTTCGCAACCTTCCGTCTTGCGGATAAACCGATGCAATGTGCGGACGTTGCGCCATCTGTCTGTAACAGAACGTACGTGGCCGGGCAGTTCCGCCTGAACAGGGAGGTATAAAAGTCAATTTCTCGTCGACTGCGAGAAGTTGACAAGAGCGAACCTCAAGCCCGTATGCAGGCTCCTTGTCAGCCCGGCCGTGATCGAGATTTCTAGGTCTTGATCGGAGTGTGAGCAAGTACAGCATCACAATGTCCCTGCGGCGATCCGAGTTGGCAATCGAAGCTCCGGCGAACGGAGAATGTGCTTATCGATGAACGCCTTGTTCGGCGACTTCAAGAAAGAGTTTGTACAGAGAGTTTGTGAATGAGCGGATCGAGAGACGTCGTCAATATTCAGATTGGAATCAAGGTTTGCACACAAGATTTCATAGAGCAGGGCACCGATGTCGGACAAGGAGGAGAAGAAAGAAAAGAAGGAGAAGAAGGAGAAGAAAGACAAGAAGGACAAGAAGGACAAAGACAAAGACAAAGACGAGGACAAGGAGAAGAAGGATAAAAAGAAGGATAAGAAGGACAAAAAGGACAAGAAGAAGGGCGACAAAGATGGAGGAGATGGCGAAGGAAATAAGGTGGATGCAGAAGAAGCGGTTGACAAGGAAAATGCTAAGGAAGAACAAGCCCCAGTTCTGGATGAAAATGGGCAGCCAATTGTGCCGGTGGTAGAGCCAATTCCTCCGAAGACTTTCGTCGAGTTATGGTTCGATGATCCGGTCGAAGGAGAAGCAGCACAAAAGCTCGCAATGGAGTTGAGAGAGAGCATAGAGCTCAAGGCACTGCCCATTCGGAAATTTTTGGAGGAGGCGATCGTTCCGTTGCTTCTACAAGGTCTTCAACACATGGTTCTCGAGAGGCCTACAAACCCTGCAGAATATCTTGCCGCTTTCTTGCTGAGAAATAATCCCCTGAAAGATCGCGTTTTCATCGAGCCGTCGCCAGATTTGCCGATTCCAGATCCACCTCCAGCGGCAGACCCTCCAAAATGCCAATGCTGCGAGCTGCACTGTCCCAGCGTCCCGGACTTCCTACGAGGCCAGGCTGCCACCCACCCCGTGACAACGTGAGAGTACGATTCGACTGCACTTCTTCAACCCACCCAAAGGACTCCCGCCACGCAACAGAAAACCGACCAAACCCATACTCCCTGTTGTAAACAAGTAGACAAGATTCAGTCACCAGTCAACAGACAGAACCCAACAGAGACCATACTTGAACACCCTAATCTTGTGGACTCTCGAAATCCACTACCCGCCGCGCCTCTTTCCATCAATCACGTACCAACTCTGCTCTCCGCCCTCTCTATCTTGCTCTCTCCTCTAGGCCCAACATGTACAACTGCGAGAACGCCACTCAATTTCGTGCGACTGAGAAATCTACGACATTTTTCAAGTGCATGTGTCAATTTTGCATACCACAACACCACAGCACCTTGTCTGTACGTGCACCGGAAACTCGTCAGTCGGTCAATCAATCGCTCGCTCCATCATGAAAGACATTCCCTTCTATTCCATAAATTCTGGCGAAAGAAAAAGAAAAAGACGGGAGACAGCCTCACCTTCGGATCCCCAACGAAATCCACATGGAATGTGCGCATCGCATCCGGTCGGCATGGACGCCTACAGTTGTCGATCGAAGAGGATCGCATGAGCCTTTACGCGGATCCGATTTCTCTTTCCTCTGTCCGCTGGCCTCTTCCGCGCTCACCTAATTATGAAACCCTGCATGCGTATGCAGCCCGGGCCTCTTTCCTGCAGTTTTCGCCCGCAGCCACGCGTCCGGCACGTGCCTCCAAATTTCGCTCCTCCGCCTCCCCCGAACGAACATCTCACGCGGCCGGAGGCCTCGACGGACTTCGAGGTCTCCGTCCACGGCCCCGTAAGAGCTGTAATGACGCGTGTATCCTCCGTCCCTGTGTGCTGGTGATGAATCGGCTCGGTCCCCGCGAAGTGCCTGCCAGGGGCGGACGACTTCGACCTCGTCCGCCATTGGCCTGGGCTTTATACGCGACAGATTTGGTCAGTTTCCTTCCCCCGGAACTGATTCTGTTGAGTAATTCAGTGTTCGGATGATTGAGGACAGGATGAATAAATTACGAGCCTTGGACTATATCCCGAGGCCTACGATATCAGCCAGAACAGAGATCCAATTTGCCGAGTTTGGAGTGGAACGAGGTGGGCAGCGACGGGTCAAAGACGGGGAGGGGGGCATAAAATGGCACTTTTTTATGAGGAAGTGATGGCCGAGTTGAGTGTGCATGGACTCGGAGCGCTAACGGAGCATTTGAACATGGGGGTGACATTGGAGGATCATTATCCGGGAGTTTTTTATTGATTTGGAGGGCGTTATCCACGAATTGGAGGTCGGTCAAACATGATGACGAGAGGGGCTTGAAGTGACATGGGGCTCACATCATCCACAGAAGGATAACAGTGGTCACTATCCCCGAACTGGAAATAGGTACAGCATGATCACCAGGCAAAAGATGCAGAGCCTAGTCCAGCATGAATGAACATTTCGATGAGCATCTCTCGGAGGGGAGGCAGAGGAAAGGGTCAATCTGTGCATCTGCATGAAAGGAGGACTGTCTTCCATGATGATGGAGATGATGCTTCGGCCGAACACTGAAGACATCCCAATGGTCAAGGGCGAGGGCAGAAGGGGGCAGGGGAGGCGAGTCGCAACAAGCATCACATGTGAATGTGGGAGAGAACTCAGTCACCACCAGCACTTCCACCATTTCCTTTCCTAGTGGAGAGGAACATGCGAGTGCATCTGCTGCTGCTGCTTCTCTCACCGATTCTCGCACTGCTCTTCTTCCACTGTTGGCTATGCACACCGGCACTATGGTTTGTACCCTAATATTCTTCCTCTGAAAATGGGACCAACACGAGTGAGTGATTGTGAGATGCTAGTACACAGCACTGTTCGCCTGTTGTTGCTCATCATGCTCGCCAATAGACGCTCATCCTCCATGGCTATGTGGAGCCCGGAGCCCCATAGCGAGATCTGTACCTAAGTCTCATCAATGCGCTAGCGTGGTTCCGATGATATTTTCTTTGTACCAAAGTGCATTTCTCGACGCATTCGCTTCGCTGCAATAAAATACAATACCCTTATGCTCTACATGGCCTACAGTGTTACCAACTTGTATTTATGTTCTAGCTAATGACATCTACGTATCGAGTTCTAAAGGGTGCAGGAATTATTGGTGCCTGCAGGACTTATGGATAGCCAAGATATTTTCTTGCAACTCCGTTCCATCAATCATTATCGTATAACTCCACTTACTGTGACGTTTGGGAAAAGCAGCTCCCAAACAAACCTGCCTAGATATGTATTCATGACTTTGTAAGAAGGATCTCAGCGATTTTCGTGCAACCGAAGTGATGTAAGCTGGCAAATTTTCAGATCTGTAATATGGAAACGCAGTCCTGAGCCGAGATCACGAGATGGCTTACCTGTCGACCCTAGAGCATGCATCATAACCTAGATAGAAGACCAGACTGGAGAGAAAATTTCTCCATCTGTCAAGCGGGCTTGAGTGCGGTGAATTGTAAGAGGATCAATTAGCATCCATGTAGCAATTAGTACGTGATTCAAGCTATCATGCGCATCATGGAAGGCACAAGTCAAGGCGAACAGCACCGGGTGCAATTATACGCACCAGTGGGTCTGAAACGAGTGCACAAACACAGATGTGCTGTACTCTCTCCAAGTGCCAGGGAATCCTAAAACAGGCCAAATCTCCTCTAAATTAGCCTGCCGACATCCTATTTGGACATGTTGCCAGGTCCCGCTAAATGTCAAGGTCCTGATGTGATTCTCGACATGCTTCCAAATGAGTGATCTCCGTGAGTGTTTCCTTGCAACCCAATTGCAACCACTTAATTTAGATTCACAGTACACGGCTTTGTAGTTTTTAGGACCCGAAGACACAGAGGTCAATTGTAAGTAACTCGTACTCGCTTGTACTACCTCGTAGACTTCCAAATCCGGGTCACGCACACAACACCAGAATCCAGATAGTCGAGCGTGATGGCTTCCCACTTAATTTCACGAAGACGAATCTCGGAATATTGCGGAATATAACCTTCTGATTTGTCGACTTTAGCGGTTATATGTTCACGAAATTTATCGCTGTGCACATGTTCTATTTGAGAACGGGCATTCGGCTCGTTGGTTGTCGCTGTTGACCTGCATATTCAGCTCTTGTCTCGATTAATTAATTCTGTCCGCAATCGAGAAAGGGCAGTCTACAGAGGTTGAATAAATGATTAAAAAATTAGGGAGATAATTACCGAAATTGTGGGTTTTGTCGAGTGGGGATCGAGGGCCGAACTGCATATAGAATGGGGAAAAGAAACAACGCAAAATTAAGAGAACGCGTTCAATCTAAAGTCAGGAGAGACTTGTGGACTTGGCCGAGGAGACCGATCTTTGGGAGACGGTTGGGTGAGGAGATAGAATAAGGAATAATGACCAGGTTGCATATAAATGGCACTTTTCTCTCTCGATATGGCCCCACACCACATCCCGCATCCCAGTTTGGTGCCTCATATTTCTCTCATTCCTCGCCAAGCGCCTGGCCCACCAGCCTTCCCACAAACTCCCAAAGATGTGCACTATTGGACTATTCACTCGCATTGATCCGACGAGAAGACAAAAACAGACCTCCTCCATTTAATAAACCCGAACCCGAGCAGGTTGGGCCTGACACTTGCGCGCAAACAGCCTCGCTCGACGAGTACGTACCCATGTGTGCCATGGGCTCTGGTTTGCGAGCGTATATTTGATTGTATTTCTGTGCACGAAACAAAGACACCTCTTTTGCATATTCTGTAGCCCAATTCTTGGAGTTCTCACGATGCGATAAGAAGACAAGCCCAGGACTCGGTTGCGGTTGGAGCGAGCGGAGTTGGCACTGACAAGCGCACAAATGCCTTCTCGTAAAGTACCTGGCCATGTGTGGGTACCATAGAGAGAGAGAGTCGTAGAGAGGCTGAATATAATGCGTCAATAATCCATTGCAAGAAAAGAGAGCAGTTGAAACCCCGCCCACTTGTGCAGTAAGTTCTGGCTGGGTCAGATCTTCAGGTTCACTCCACGGACGAACCACGATTCGGGCGATAATTGGCACTGACAAGAGCGCTGAGCGCCTGCTTGAGGCGTACATGGCCATGTGTTTGCTCGCGAGAGCTTCAAGGCGTTCGGGTGGAAGCGCCCACGGCCTTTCTGATGGAAAGATTATATGTGTTCAACGCCGGGTGACGCCACTGCGGCCCTCAAGACTTGCGACGCACACAAGTGATGTCGCCCTCGTCCATAAGCAGCCAAGAAGCGCACCTTCGCTCCCTTGAGTGGGGAGGAACCGCTGGGTTCACACTTGCCCGACCTCCCGCAGTGCGTCACCACGAGTCCTTTGGGCTCGGCCTTGGATTTTGCTTTTCCATTCCCCAATGCCGCTGGAGCTTCTTCATTGCATGAAATTTAAATACCAAAAGCGAATATTTCAAATGTTCTCGGCCTAGCAAGAATACCATCTCCTCCGAAAGACCCCACCTTCTTTTTCATTCCACAATGTTCTCAAAGAAAAGCGGAAGAATTTTTCGATCTTATTGTAGAATTTCTACGCCAGATAGAGCTTCGTATCCGGTTTACCATTTCCCGTATTGCACATTATGGAGGTTGCAAAGCAAATACAATTATTTCAACATTCGCCTCCATTTTTGAAGGATGATTACCAATCATATTTTAATTACGAATGGCATATTGAGCATTGCCTTGCTAAAGAGTTTACACCAAAAATTGGGCACTTACTTTCAACAAAAGTCGTAATACGAAGTATGATGAGACTTCTTAGGGCGTCGGTGACGACGAAGTCGAGTTCGAAGTTGGTACATTCGTAGAAGGTGGTGAAAATCTGGGAGGTTCTCATCCAATCCTCCTGCCATATTGGTGGGATGTGGTTGACGGTGGTGCGGGGCATTCATTCCGTGCGGGTCAGAATGGTATTGTTTGCGGTGATGCCGTTAAGTACGGACTCTTCATGTGCATTACGGACCGGAAATTCTCTCACTAAACAACGCTTTGATGCCAAAGATTCTGCAGGGGCTCTCCGGGAGCCATACTTACTTGTCTAGCTGTTGATTGATGTGATTCGCTCCTCGGTGACAACCTTTTTTGGGTTCTTCGAGTGTGCTTTTGTGGCAACGCGACACTTCACGCGTGTGAAAGCGCAAGGTTCGATTCGACGTGAGAAACAAAATCTTGTTGATTCAACATCGGTTACTCTATTGTTGTGCAGAATAAATCATAGAGAACTAGGGTTGCTTCTTTGACCGGTACTCCTTGCACTCTCATTCCCATGACCTTGTGCTGTCTCCCACCTCGTTGTCCCTCTGCGGACATTCACATGAAGAATCAATCAACCCAAAGGAGAAAGTTTCTTGAATAACGGAAACTATAACCACTTTCTAAGACGTGAAATCAGATAAAGCGAAACGAAACTCATGAACTTGTCGATTTGACTTTGAGATTCCCGATCATGCAACTCGTCGGTTACGATTTGTCAACGTTGTCACTTTCACCTGCGTTATCAGAGTTTGAACTGGATTCGAGAACCCAGACTTGCTGGAAAGAGACAGGTTGAACAGAGAGCAGCCGTAACGTGATTCTTTGACTTAAGGCATTTTGTAAATATTTTGGCCCCCGCTTTGCTTAGAGCCACTATCTGCCCTTGTCACATCGTTTTCAAAGTCCGTGCGGTGTGATGATATGAAGCAAAGAGAAGTGAGACTAATCCGTTCAATACCACGAGGCCGTGCGAACGACTGTCATTTCGAGGGCGAGTTTTGAAGTCAACATTGCAAACCAAATGCTGATTGAAACATGCCAACGGCGAAGGAAGTCACACCTCACGTTCTAGAGAGAACGCTCTAGGCAGCTCCAGAATTAAATGGTTACCCGGGTGACTTCAAAGTTCTTCTCGAGGCTCGCAAATCGCATGCTGCGTATTTAAAGGTGGACTTTTGAACCCTAGGTCTAGCTTGTTCCTGGTCTATGTATGTATGTATGTACAATCCCTTTGAATCAATCTACAGCTCAACAGCTCCCCGAACCCTTCGTACTACTGGATGGGAACGACTGAAGCCATTCCGGGTTAACATGCGTCTTGCAAAAATAGTGCGAACGCAACATGAATGTAATGTGGCGCATGGCAACAATCAGGTATAAGTTGAATACTTTCCATGACTTACTCTTGGGTGAGAAACAAGTTGCTGAGCAGGCAAATTTATTGCGGATTTTGCGTTGAAGTTTCTTCAATTATGGAATTTGTAATTGAACAGTCAAAATAAATCGAATTACAGCCAATAAGCGAGAGATGTGCGACTCATGTGCCAAAAAACATAGTAACATATTAGAGTGAAGACAATGTATTACTAACTTGCCTCCTGCTCGCTTATCGAAACGAATGAGTGAAAGTGCATAGCAACAAAGATGATCAAATACTGCCTTTTTTGGTGCTACATTCTACCTGAAGAACCGATCGAGAACAATTCTGTCAGTCCGTGAAACAAAGTAATCAGCTTCACTTTCTTTGGGATGTTACTTCTTTACGTTGCCAGTCAAAGCTTTGAATTTCGGTGGGGTGCATTCAAACATGTGAGATAATCGGATAGTAGTGCAAGGTGTGAAAGAGAACGCAATCGAGACAAGATTTTTACCACCGATTGCATGCATATAAACATGCGAAACATGCATGAAACAGTCGATCCTAACGATCTTGCCAAACTGGCGAGCTGAGGTAGCTGTATTTAGCAGCCCACGAGAGCATGTACTCCAGCAAACTAGTTTCTCCGCGCTCTTGACCCGGCCTCTTCTTTGTTGACCTGACCAAAGACTAGATCAAAAAACCCAAAACAATAGAAGACAAGCAAACATGAAGTTCCACCTCAACCGTGTTCCAAATCTGATTCTGTCAACTGCATATAACCCTTACATAAACCGCACCTCCAGGTAGCACCCACCTTTTGATGGACGAGGCTGCTTACTCACCAGCAATGCAGTGGAATCTTGCAAGATTTGGACTTGAGAGAAGGAGATCAGGTTCAGAGGGATCCCACTCCCCCTTGTTATGCGTGAATCGGTGCGTGAGTAAGTGAGAGGGAGACGGAAGGGCACATAGATACATTCACTACCCAAAGCGTGCGATTGTTCCACATATCCGTAGGTACCGGGATATTCTCCTGGGCTCCCCGACTGACTTGTTGCGAACAGATTGTTTGCCTTTTTTCTCCGTCTCTTCCGAATATAGGGAGAAAAGTTTACACGTCTCCTTTTCTTCTGCGCGGTGGCAGAGACAGAACTAAACCTGCAGATTGCCTAATTCCACTTTCTGGATCCTCTTTTGAGGGCTTATGTCACCAGTCGTCGACCAGATGAAATGCTGGTAAATTTGTCGGGAGTTTGGCAAGAGCCAACATGAACAAGAATGAGATAAAAAGCTTTGCTTTGGGATAAAAAGCAGAAGACCAGAGCAAGGGAGTGAACCAACGAGTTCTTAGAAACCGAGTCAAGATAAAACGAAATCGCGTTACAATTTCATCATACCTCATGATTTCAGATTGGATATGTCGGATAAGAAGATTATGCAAATCTCGCTTTCTGTGTGAAATAAATCTTGAACTCCGCACTTGCTTTTTTCTTGCGAGGTGGACGGAAGTTCATGAAGCAAGTTCATGCGTATGAACAGAATCAGATATTGCGAGCTTTTTCGTTACTCTTCTTTTCTTAGAAGAGTTCCGAAAAACTAGCGATTCACAACGTCATGGCTTCTTCAAATGAGAAGTAAGTTGCAGATCAAACGACTTGGATCCAAAGAAGACAGTTCTAGTCAGACAGTTTTTGAAATAATTATTGCTGAACGGTTGATAGCCCATCGAACGCCAGGCAAATGATTCAAACTGACATTTCAAACAGCGAAGCACCACGAACGAAAAATTATAACCAATAGAAATGAGAAAAAAATTCAGGGTGGCCAAGTCAAAACATACAACCTAGTCACAAACCAATGCATGGCAAAGGTGATAAGATCTTGCAACCACTTGTAGCAAAGGGGTGGATGACAACGTGGGCAATAATCATCATAATAACAACTGTGTATTATCAAGTTAAATGTGGACGGAGCTTTTTGATCTTCAGACTCTACATCATCCTGGAAACAGATGAAAATTGACTACAAAAAATTTGACAAATCTAATCACTGTAATGTTTGACAATTAGCCCGAGCATCGAGTCGATAAACATCACGGGTGATGGTGACGAAGGCCATGTCAAACTTTCCCTCACGGAATTGGTGCACAAACCACATCCACCGAAAACGCTCGAACATTTTTCGAAGACCCAAATCTCGAAACAAGATCAGGCTCATCAGACGTGCGAACACGGGGTCAAGGAAGACGCTGGGATCAAGATGACGGGATCGGAACCATGCGGTCGCACTGTGGGCAAAGTCCAAACCGCCGGATCACAGTGAGCAAGGAGATTACGTGGTCAATGTAGCTCGTCAAGCATAAGTAAATCACAATGGAGTGATGGCACTCTATCAACATTAATGGCTGGACATTCCATGGAAGTATAGCATTAAGGTCCATCCACATGCATGAAGTACCCGTATTAATACACGTAGAGCCACGTAGGTAGACATGGGCATCCGGAAACTGGTACGTAGGGGCGAGCGTGTGGTCGATTCTGTTGGATCGGTAATCAGAGAAAATCGGATTGTAAATCCGAACGACTGAATTTCTGCCTCGACTGGAATCACGTCGTCGGCCGACGGGCGGGAGGGAGGGACTACAGGTGCCGCCACCGGCGCGACGCCCTGAATTACCATTGGCCCCCACGAGCCACAATGGGTTATAGGGTGGCATCGGGGGAATTTTATGTTGGCAGATTTTTTCCCCTTTCCTGCCGGGACTTACCGCCGGCACATTTCTTTCCCATCCGCGGAGGCCTTTTCTTTTGGTGACGTGCTCCATCGAGGCGAATTATCCCTCTATGGCTGCAGCAGGAGCTGCCACGTGGCGGCGAGTTGCCGCTTTCCTTCACCGCCCGCTTGCGCGGGCGCGGGTGGTGGGAGCGAGCGGAGCCCTCCTCGTCCTAGTCGGACCTCTCTGCGTTGCCTTGGCCTTTGTTCGGAGCTCCGGGGCAGGGGCAGGGGCAGGGCACGCACGCACGCACTCCTCCGTCCGTTGCTGCCCTGCCTGCCTTCCTTCCTTCCTTCCTTCCTTCCTGCCCGCGCCCGCCCGCCCGCCTTCGCAGTGCACATATGGCAATGTCCATCTGCGTCTGTTTCTCCGGCAATGAGTTCGTTGAGCTGGCACAAGGCAGAGCTGACTGTACCCACCTGACAACCCCATGCCCGCAGATTGACATAAGCCGCATTTCTTTCATGTTCCGTGAGAGGTCGCTCCCGCAGTTTGCCCGGATTTCGCTCGGAAGGACGGTATCCCCGACTGAGGCCCGACCCCTCGACGAGAGAGCGTTCAAATCTTCAATATTTTCCGCGCGGACTTGCGCGGAAAAGAGTTTCTTAGGGTGTCATTGCGGCACAGTAGCCGCGAAGATGGAGTGTCGAAAAATATCCCTCCCCAGACGTAGAACTCACGCTTGCAGAGTGACCTCATTCGCCCGTCATCTTCCAAAGATCCCAGTTCACGTCCGATTTGCAGCGTCGGGTAGTTCGTCCCGCCTGCTGCGAGCGGAGCCCACTGTGCGTCCGGCCGGCCGGACCTCCGGGCGCCTTTGCGTCCTCATCTCCGGCACCGTCATTAACAGGGAAATCGAATCATCAGCCGTACTTGGATGTCATTATTGCGGCGCCGGACTGCCAGAATCCACCTATGGATGCACCGAGCGAGGGAAGGATTTGGCCGCAGCAGCTCCAGCGCCAGTCTCGCAGGGAAAAAGTGCGGCCTGGATCCCGAGCTGTCACCGCAGACGAAAAAGTCCGCCCTGAGCCGCCCCGTGGTGACCTGTGCGTCCTCGGTCGAAACTCAAGACTCGGATTTACGGAAATCCCCCCCGTTCTTGGCTTCCCGTGCGACGGAAGTTAATTATCTCGTCCTTTAAGCCCAGGTCAACGAGTAACTCTTGCCGTCTGGCACGTCCGGCTCTCGATCGGGTTCGCGCGAAGTCCTTCCCTCCCTCAACTGTTGCGCACTGATGGGGGAGCTGGACAGCGGACGCGACCCGACCCGCCAGTGGGCCGTGAAGTGGTGGCGGAATCGGTCGTTTGCGCGTCCCAGAAAGACACGGAGGCCGGAAAGAGCAGGGGGTGCCGGATCCGATCGACAGATCGGAGCGTGTGTGGGTGTGTGTGCGTGCGTGCGTGCGTTCGCAGAGACGGACGGGGAGCCTGGATGGAAATGCCATCGCAGCGTCGCAGGCGGGAGGACGAGGAGGGAGGGGCCGGGCAGGGGACTCGGGAGGGAAGGCGAGGGCAGGGCCCGGCGAGAAAGGGTGAGTTGAGGGTGCTGGCGTTCCTGTTCCGACTGGTCCATTGAGTCTCGGGTCTTCCGATCGCCTCTCTTTCTGCTCCCGCTCGACCTACAGGCAGACAGAGTGACCTATGTAATGTATGTATGCAATTGGCGATTGATCCATCTTCTCCTTTGCCTTCCCGGGCATCGCAGTCGGATGCGCTTTCTTTGCAGCACCACCAAAGCCTTTTTCCGCGCGGGTCCCACTCATTCACTTACAGACGAAATTGTTTGCACAAGTCGGGGACTCGGGGCCGTGCAGGTGAGGAGTTTTTGCGGCAATTCCTCGACAGCCTGCTCTTTCTTTCTCCTTTTTTTTTCGGTTGTTTCTCTGGTGCAAGCGCTGAGAGGGAGCGAGAGAGAAGTAGAGTTGTGGCACACTTGCCCGCCCTGCTGAGAGTGAGTTGCGAGAGGAAGCGAAGACCTAATATACAATCCATCTTTTCGGTTCCGGAGAAAGAAGAGAAGCGAAGCGAGCAGGTTGCAGAGAGGAGAGTGAGGGGGAGATAGAGAGAGGGAGAGAGGGACGGAAAGCAGGAAGGGAGGGCGGGTGTAGGGAGGGGAAGGGAAGGGAAGGGAAGGAAAGGAAAGGGATGAAGAAGAAAATCGATTGAGTGGAAGTGGTTATTTTTTGGGGTCATGAGTTTCCAAGATTCATCCTTTGGAGGAGTACATCTTTTTCTTCAATTGTCGGATTTCATCAAGAAGCCAGTGACAGGGCCTGTGAATCGATAAAGCGCGTGCTGGAGTCAGTGTGTAGGCCATTGTGCTTTGTTGTGTGTAACATGGATTGCCAGGTCTCATCCTCATCGTCATCGTCAGCTAGCTTTGATTTGATAGCGTGATTTTCATGCTATGAACTGCAACTCCTCCTTCGTGTCCATACCCGTATCTGGAGAGGGCGAACTGCAATCTACGTCCCGATGGTAGATAGAAATGCCTGTGATGCCACTTTGCTCCAGAGGGCCCTCTTTAGGCCTGCAGCGACAATCTTCACCTCGTCCCCCGCCAATTATGCGTTGGTATCGCGGAGTGAATTGAAGGAAGTTAATGGTTATCTCAACAGGAATTGGATGTGGCAACCCATTGGATCTGCTGAAACAGAACGCAAAATGGGGAAATTATGGTGAGCCGGCCTTTTGCATGTACCCAGTCTTTCTACCCTTTGCCCACGGATCGAGAGTCGCCAGATGGACGATTACATGTACACTTGTTTCGAAAGTCGATGTTGGATGGATTGTGGACGGACGACTGTTCTTGGCACCTACTAGTTAAACCCTTCCTCTCCTCTTGAACGAAGTACACGCAGAGCATGCTGGGGCGCATCCCTAGATTAGTACATTAGGGAGCGTTCCGTGCACGGTCAATTTTGATGGAGGCGGGCTTGCAGATACTGAAGAGATGGACCATCAAGGCGCCTCATGCGACAGCAGAGAGTATGGGAAACGACTCACAAGCAACCTTTGAAATGTTTTGCACAAAGAATTCTGGTTTGCGCTTTCTGGTTTGGTATCTGTTTCATGGGGCATTATGGCCTCTGCCGTTAGTAGTTTGGACTGTAGCGTTGAAGCGCTCATCAGTTTTTTGTCGAGCAGCTAATACGCTCCTCTAAGACCGTTGTTCTGCCGAGTACGCGACCCTGCACTATCCTTGGAAAGCTGGAGGTTCCATGGACATCAGCTGATTTACAGAGAACGCTCGAGAATAGGATGTTTCCTGATAAGATCAACATGTTCATCCCAGGAAGCTGAGCATATATCACATTAGGCTCATATGCATTTTACCAGGATTCAGCTAGTGGTTCTTGGGAGCGGGCGCATGAGAGGAGTCACTCGACACGAAACGTCATTGCCAGCATATGCGATGACTGTCTTTGGCTTCACCTGTCTAGGTTTTTAAGTGTAGAGCTTCATGAAGCTGCAACTTTCTCCGATACAGACAGACTAGAGCTAGTCGGACAAAGCCGAACGCCGCATGAAAAGGATATGGGTTCTGATTTAGAACTTTTGAGCTTCCTTCTTACCTACATTCTTCTTTGGCATCGTCTGTCGGGAAATTCTTCCATAACAAACAAGAGGGCATTGAAGTTTTTGAGATGCATTTGATGCTATAGAGTCTACACAGCCGTCGGATGATCATTTTGTGATGATCATTTTTTTCTGTCATTGAGCAGGGCCTCCGGATAAACAAGAAAAGAAAAAGACTCAACAGAGTCCTGCCGATGTTGATATGGAGGGCAGTAAAAGCTCGGACGGAGGCGATAAGGGGAGTGAGGTAATAGATCTACCAATTTTTATTTTTCTTCGAAGAGTACCACAAAGGATCGTGGATGTTGTTGATTCCTTTGTACTAATAAGGAAGTGTAAGGATTTGAATTACATATTCTAGACGTCCAGATTACGAGCTTGTTTTAAATTGAGTGCCATTTACCTCTGGGAGGACACAATGATGACTCTTTTCTCCCACACAGAGCCCACCGAGCCAATCTGATACTCCAAAGGAAACAGAGTCACCGAGATTCCAAGCACTTCTGCGGATGACCGGAGGGCCAAGGAAGAAGAAACTCGGAAATGACATCAAAAGTTACTCTCATGAATTGGATCCGAGGGGAGTTCGATCACATGACTACTGGAGGTCGCATAGTTTCAATGACTTGGAGGTTTGTACATTCTTTTGGTTAACCGCCTTTTTTCCTAATTTGTTTCTGGTCGTGCATGTTAGTGGCGAACTCATATGACGTCATCTACTACGAGAGTTACACAATTCTTCTTGTTGATGAATCTTAGAACTCAGGGCTAAAGGATTGCGTTTGGCGTCTGTTTAAGCACTTTAGCACATAGTAAGTCCAAGTGATGCAGAGTTTTTGTCGAATGCTCTTTGACTAAAAGATGACTATATGAATCTTGCTACCCGCCGTCCTTGGTCTGTTACCGATTCCCATCCCATGATCTTATTTTTTTCCTTCCCCGTTGTAGACCCCGTGATGACCTTACTGCGAAACATTTACGTACTTGTCAGCGTGGTGTTCAGTGCAGTTATCTGTGATTCATATTTGCATGCTTTGTTTGAGAGAGGGAATTTCTCAGACATGCTTGTCGCCCTGCCTTGTCCAATTCCAAGTTTGCCATCATGTTGCACGGACGCAAGTCTAACAGAGCCTTTTTTATCATACGATGCACATGAAAGGCCCCCGCCCTCTTTCCGATTGGTATTTTCTTTGGTTAGGCTTCATGTATTGAGCTGCTTGACGATCTCCTTAAAAGCAGGTTTATCCTGCATTTTGAAGTTCAGGTTCCAACTCTGAGCATGAGACATGTCAGAGTTAATCCTCATTGTAATGGATTAACTAGTTTTTAAGAGCAGATTTTACTTTGCTTCTATACGGAGTACTTCATCTGGTCCTCTGCTGTGGTGATCGCTTTCGTATCAAACAGCAGGTTCTGATCGTCGTTACTCTGCATTCTACTGATAAATTTTTTTATTAATATGGTTTCAGAAATTTCTTGGGGCGTTGCGAGCAAGATTTAACTCTGCCAAGGAGGAAGTCAACAGTGAACTCGAGGTCTTTGCGGGGGATCTGGTCGAGATTCTGGAGAAAAATGCTGATCAACCGCCCAAATGGCAAGAACAGACAGAAGATTTACTGGTATTGGCTCGCCAGTGTGCCCTAATGTCTTCTCATGAATTCCGGAAGCACTGTGAAAGTATCGTGCAGGAACTTGATGACAAGCGTCAAATGCTACCCATGGGAATACTTAAGCAGCTGCACACGCGAATGCTCTTTATTCTCACTCGGTGCACACGTCTGTTACAATTTCAAAAGGAAAATGGCTTGGAAGAAGAAGTTCCCACCCACAAGTCACATCAGCTAACTAAAACGCCTCAACCTCTGGGTCCATCTCTGGACAGGGCATGGACTATGAGGAACAACGAGAACAACAAGAAACAGAAAGAGAAGGGGAAAGGGAAAGTGAAAGTGGTCTCAGACTTTTCACCGCTTAAGGAACCTTTGAAAGAGAAGACACCAAATTCGTCACCTCCCGTCCCTATTCTAGATGCGAAGAAGAGCTCAGGGAAAGGAGAGGATGAAGGGACGACATCTGGTAGCACAAAAAATGGGAAGGTTAAACCATCTCTCAGCGGGTTGAAGAGTTCGACTTTGCGACAGGAGAAGGTAATGTCTGAAGTTGATTCCCTTATTGCAGATCGGTTAGCATCATGGAAGAAAAACTCCAATCGAGAGAAGCCGTCGACACCGGAATCAGCTCGACCTGACTGTGAAGGCAAGTTTAGAAATAGTAAAATATCCCGGAAGGATTCTCAGGAACGGGACGATGCAGCTGCAGCCGCCGAAGTGATGCTGTCAAGAGATTACAACCAGAACAGCACACCTTCGAGGCAACACAGTACTGGCACCCCTGTTCCCAGAGTATCATGGGGCTATTGGGGTGATCAGCCAGCTGCTGTCGAAGATTCGTATATGGTGATCTGTAGAATATGTGAAGAGGAAGTTCCTACTCTTACTTTGGAAGAGCATTCAAGAGTCTGTGCATTTGCCGACAGGTGTGACCACAAATCCCAGAGTATAGATGAGCGGCTCCGGAGACTGGCTGAAACTCTGGAGAAAATGCTCGATAGTTATACACCAAAAGCCTCTAATGTTGCTTCTGGCGGAAGTCCCGAGCCAGGGAGGCCTTTTACTGTAACTGCAGGAGATGTTTTTGATGGCTTTTATGACAAGTCAGGAAGTCTCAATCGCAAAGGCTCTGAAGATATGCTGGAAGACCTGCACGAGATAGATGCTGCCAGCATTGATGATCCGAAAGGGAGTTTCAACGCCATCAGCTGCAAAACCCGTTTTGGACCGAAATCTGAGTTTGGTGTAGCCTCTTCGTCAGGAGGTAGCGTGACTCCTCGCTCACCTATTGCGACCCCGAGGGCCACCTCTCAGTTCGATCAATGGTTGCCGGAACGAAGTAGTTTGGTTGAGCCAGGAGATCCTGTACAGGTGTGTATGCAAATGCCTGTCTATCCTTTGCCATCTTCTAGTAATGTTGTACTCTGACTCATTTCGCGTTTCTTAGCGGAACGTGTAAGATGTATGTGTCATTCAAAGGTTGGTTCAAGACGTCACTCTAGCACTGGGCATCCAGGGTGCAGATTATTGGTATCCAGTCTGACAGGCATATACTTATTAGTTGAGGTTTTACTTTTCTAGTCACTCCGTAGTCAGGTCCCCCACGTAAGGAGTCACCGATTCTGGTTAGTTTATGGTTGAGTACCGGAGCTCTTTACGTACCAATATAGAGATGCAGCCGCAGCATGCCCTGGTTCTCCGAGCGCAGTATATGGTGCTTCTCAGAATATATATCTCCCTGGCTCTGTGTCTGATGCATTTCTTGTCGTGACGTTATAATTTTGCAGATGAACGAGCTAGCGGACATTGCCCGTTGTATTGCGAAATCAGATCCAGCGGACGCTTATTCTCCAGCGTACTTAATCTCCTGCATGCAGGATTTAGCTGAAGTTCTTCAGCAGAATAAAGTTGCGGCACTGACAGTGGACACGTTTGGAAAGCGTATTCAAAAATTGCTGAGGTACACGCTCTTCAAACTGTAGGATTTGTTACAATAGCCTCAAACTCTGAAAATATAAGTCTTGTCATCGACTTCACTCGGCACCTTAGGAGGTCCAAATGGTACAAACACGAAAGTCTGTTTATGTTGCTAAACATTTCTCAAACGTGTACATTTGTACCAATCCATTTGTTGACTTTACTTATCGCTTATCACCGAATGACGTAAGTCTGTAATTGGCCTACGTTTCCTATGTATCATAAACATCCGTCTTGCTTTTGTAATTTTGTGCTTAAGATCCTTGCACATGAACAGTGCATAGTTGTGTTCTAGTTGCTCAGTTTGTATCTCGGGGTGCTTTTGTTGTGTTGACGGTTGTACTAAATAAGGTTCACGATATGGGTATTTGTGCTTAGTTTAGTTGAGATAAGTACTAAACCCAATAAATCATCGATGTTTTTTAGGTTTGTAGTTCTTTGCCGCCATCCCTTAATCTTCACTTATAACTTGGTCATTTTTGGTAAATCTTGTAGGGAGAAGTACCAGTTGGTGTGTGATATGGTTGAACAAAATAGTCTCGACACATCAAGCAATGTTCTCGACGACGATGGTCCCATGGAAGACGATGGATTTCCAAGTGATAAGTCTACCCCAGTGCACCCTTCAGCTTACAAGGATCGAACAACAATAGATGATTTTGAAATAATAAAGCCAATAAGTCGTGGTGCCTTTGGGAGGGTGTTTCTTGCAAGGAAAAGGACTACCGGTGATCTTTTTGCTATAAAGGTGAGTCTAGGGTGGAACTCTGCGTTAGTATCATCCTAGTTAATTTTTGTTCAACTCACTATGTTCTTCAATATTGATTTTTACTGGAATATGAGACTTTGAGTTTAAGTAGTACATGTCGGTGCCCAGGCCCAACTTACTAACCAACTTGCAATCATAATGATTCGTGTGTGCAGGTTCTAAGAAAGGTGGACATGATTCGCAAGAATGCAGTGGAAAGTGTGCAAGCCGAGAGAAACATCCTCATATCAGCTAGGAATCCCTTTGTGGTAAGCATTTGATAATCTGAAGCCTGTTGTAAACTGTCACTGAAATGAAGAATTTTCCCTACACGCATATTAATGCGGATCTCGTATTGTTTTCGTGCGTCAGACTTAGCTTTTTTGTGATGATTGTGACTTCCAGGTGCGTTTCTTTTATTCATTCACCTGCAAGGATAACCTCTATCTAGTGATGGAATATCTAAATGGTGGGGACCTTTACTCCATGATGAGAGCTTTTGTATGTCTGGACGAGGATGTGGCTCGTGTGTATATCGCGGAGTTGGTAATTATCATCTCTATTACTGAAACTGGAGTTTATCAACTTTATTTTCATGAAAGTTTCGGTCTTTGTCATCAGCTTTTAGTATGCCGCTCTCTATGAAGAGCATGGAGAATATATGAGAAATTACTGTCCTGACGGAGCAAAGTTGATTGCATCAAAATGTATCATAGAGTTGGTTGCACATTTGATCAGTGTACCGTGGTATGTTTGGATCTTAGCGTTTGACATTCGCATTTGTGATGTAGGTTCTGGCTCTTGAGTACCTTCACTCCCTGGGTGTAGTCCACCGTGACTTGAAACCGGATAACCTTTTGATCGCCCACGACGGACATATTAAGGTTAGATGTGTGGATATTATGTTAGGCCATGATTTATGTCTTGCACTAGATACTCTTCAAAGTTCAGTTTACTGTATTCTTGAATCTTGATATCGATTGGTGAATTTGTGTGCTATTTGCAGTTTTCGGCTAGCTTGAATCGTCCGTTCTAATAAAGTGTTTTTGTTGCTTTTACACAGCTAACAGATTTTGGGCTCTCAAGAGTTGGTCTTATTAACAGTACTGATGACCTATCCGGGCCAGCTGCGAGTGGAATTCATGTGGAAGAGTCGTGGCAGGCTGCTGAAGAACATGCAAAGCAACGAGAAAGGAGGCAGCAACAATCAGCAGTGGGAACTCCGGACTACCTGGCTCCTGAAATTTTGCTTGGAACTGGTCATGGTTAGTATAAGACCATTTTGAACTGCAGCTGAAGTCTAGACTTCATGGTTTTATTTCAATCTTGAATCGTTTCAGGAAAGTGTCATGAAGCCTCTTGGGTCAGCAACCAGGTCCTGACTTATGTGGGTTTGTTCCTTGCTGGTAGGCACTACTGCTGATTGGTGGTCCACGGGAGTTATTCTGTTTGAGTTTCTCACTGGCATACCACCTTTCAACGCAGAGCACCCGCAGGTCTGAACTGATCATATTTAATGCCAGGAATTGACCGGGATCTCCAGCCCTAACTTGAGATCTTGTTGTTTTGTCAACACCTAATCATGTTAATTGTCAAGGTCATTAGGTTTCGGGAAGTTTTAGTCTTTAAGTAGCGACCAGATATATTAGCAATGTATTGTAAACTTGCATGTGTTACCATAATGTTGTTTTTTTAATCTCCACACTCCAGTGTTCTCGTTCCTTTGTTCATCCCTTTGGTCCTGAATGATCTCCTATGAAATCCCTTTTGTCCTGGGTAGGCGTACTATCTGAAGGTTATTTTCTCAAACCTGTTTTGAAATTTCCAGGTAATTTTTGACAATATTCTCAATCGAAAAATACCTTGGCCTCACGTGCCCGAAGAAATGTCGTACGAGGCGCAAGATCTGATAGATCGGTCAGTTCTTATGCTTGTTTGTTTAATTGTGTATCATTCCGTTTATACTCGTCCTCAGGTTTGTTAAATCCAACGTTTATTTAGTTCTATTCGAAACTGATATTCAAAGATATCATCTATGTCTGCAGTCTTCTGAGAGAGGATCCAAATGAGCGTCTTGGAGCTAAGGGTGCTGCTGAGGTTAGTAGTTTTGTTTTATCATCAATAATGCCCACGTTCTGTTGTTATTGACTGGAGTAAATATGTAGAGCGTACACAGTTCACCTTCGACACGTATTTTACAAGTGAAAAGACTTCTGATTGGAACGCCGAGTGTTTTCACCAGTGTTGTTTTCATTTTCAGTTCTTCAAATGCATGTATATAAAGATTCATTGTAGCACTGTTCTAGTCTTGGACTTTTGGAATCTACAACTACCTTGAAGAGGACTCGCTAGGGAAGGTGGACTGGACCATATCTACATCTTAATATATCAGTGAAAGTTGCCGTGGCTGAAGTGCTAGCTTCAAGGCATGCCTTATCTGTTCCGTGTTTTCCTAAAGTGAACTCTTCTATTTGTCCAATTATGTTTCGAATGCAGGTTAAAGCACATCCTTTCTTCAAAGACATCAATTGGGATACTCTGGCCCGACAAAAAGCAGCGTTTGTTCCGAGCCCCGATACTGCGCATGACACGAGTTATTTTACGTCACGACACTCATGGAATCAAATAGATGCACGTGTTTTCCCCGAACAAGAGGGAGATTCTTCTGATTATGATTGTAGTGGTAGTAGTGGAAGCAGCAGTTCTATGGATACGAGGCGAGAGGAAGGGGTGAGTCTACACTCTCCGTCATTTTGTCCTTTCCGACTGACCAAGGCAATCGTTTTACACTCTCGTTCTTCCTTAAGTAGATTGTGCATGTAAGTCGTTAGGCGTCTTTGTCTTCAGTGGACTAACCTATAATTCCTCGTATACCGTGCTCTGTAGCACTTCTCCTTAGCGGACATTAATTTGCACATGTCTCCTAGCATACTGCATGTCCTGGCATGTAGTTTGGTACGTATTTTCATGTTTTTTGCAGGAATTCTAATTTCCTGTCAAAATTATCTGATCGCAGATAGACGAATGTCGTGAAATGCCATTTATGGAAACATCTGCTGGTGTTCAGCAATTTACGTTCAGCAATTTTTCTTTCAAGGTCAGCCTGGGTTGTGTGCATCTTGTCTCCTTTTATAATTCCGTTTTTGTTTTGGCGCAAACTACGGTAGGATCTTCTAGCGACTGACTTGCTGCTCTCTGGCTGTTCAAATGTGTGTGCAGAATTTATCACAGCTTGCATCAATCAACTATGATCTTCTTTTACAAACTGAAAGGAATTCTCCGAAGGGCCCAAGTTGAATGTGGTTGCTGGACCAGTATTCTTCGTTTTTTGGATCCTTGGTGTCGATCCGAGGAAGGCCATTTAATGGAGCAACCTGGCAGCAAACGCATGGTCAATCCTGTGGGTGGCCTTCTGAATCACATGTACTATATGTAATATGTAACCCAATTATTGAAGTCATTTTTAACCTTGTCACTCTTAATTATGCTAGTCGTCAGTCACTTGAAAGGAGTAATCGATCTTGTCAGGCTCATTGAAATGTTCGGAATTAGTTTGTGCTCTGCTTGTTTCTTCTTTACTGATAATGAGACTTGAAATCATCCCTGGGACCCGTACGTTTCATGTCAAACCTCTCTGGCCTAAGAACGTTATGAAGTCTTATCTGTTGCTTATTCAAGAGGGCCCAGATCCCATGGTTGACTCTGGAGGCAGGTGGGATCAGAAGACCTTGTGTTCGTCCAGTGTTCTTGGTCAGAGCCACATTTGTGGGGAGATGCCGCCAGATGTATCATTTGTCATTCGAGTTTAGATTTGTAGGTCTGTCCGTGATCATGTAGGAAGGGGTGTGACCTTTGCACACCATGGACTCTCGTTTGTGGTTGCTACATGATCATGTAGTAACCCTTTACAGCAGCCTGAGTGTGGGCTTTACTTCATAGTATGCTTTAGTTTGAATGAATGTATGGCTCCTCCATTAACTAACTTCTACGTGGAGGAGTATTCTGATCTGATGAGGAAGTTTAAATGTCATGGAGCAAGGTTGGTACAGTCGGATGCACTTATTTTCTTCTCACTTTCCCAGTTTGGTTTGTTATTCTAATTTGTCGCGACGAACAATCTTTTTGGCTTGTATTTGTATATGCATGATGATCGTGTTAGAATCTTACTAGTAACTTGAAGTCGATGTCACACACCCATTTGTGGTGGACGTGCAAAGTCGACTGTGTAATTAAGATGAAGTTGCCAGCTGCCGGCATCTCAAGAGTCCAACCCTTTCGAAGTACCTCTTCAAGAAATTATAGTAGATTGTGGTCACTGAAGTTGAGGTCTGAATTCTTTCAGAGGTCGATGTGGACAAGATTCACTGCGAACGATGCTAATCAGCTCCACACGCTGTTTCGTAGGACTTCATTTTATATGTGTTTCCCCCTAAGTGATTAATAGTTCGTGTCTATGATTGCAAGGACATGGGTGATTTGAATCGTTCAAATAGTGATTGCATTGAATAGAAGTAGTCAGTCGTTATGAGCTTAGTAACCGTATCCGTTCGTCATAGAGGGAAGTTATCTGTGCTTGAACTCGGGACCACAAATTAACCCTTTTCAGTTAGAGAGAGGTTTGTTCCTGTTGAAACGCCCTTTTTTTTTCTTGTGCTCATCGATCTTACTTGCACGGGGCGTCGCTAGAGATTGTTTACACATGTTTATGCACACTTTTTAACATCGTGCACGAACGACATTCGCGGGGTAGACATGGCAGTTTTTGTGTCATCCTGGTAAACCCAGCAGTCTTAGATAAAGTCAATGAAGGTCATGCACCCTCGTGTCTGGTTCGGAATTGGAACCTTTTTGTAAGAACGTGGCATTCCCTTCTCCATTGAAGAAGTCGATCTGTTCCCTTTTGTTCCAAAAATTTTGAAGCTGTATAGCTGCACATATTCATCAGTTGGAGGGCACGAAGGGAGATTACGTAGGGTCCGAAACAAATAATGGGGATTGGGTGAAGTGTAGTTGTTGAGGGTCGATCTGAAAAGAATAGAGCACAGTGAGATCCGAAGTTGTCTCGTAGTGATGCAAATGTGATCACCCGAAGTCTAGTACTGTGTGGCAATGTCCGAGGACGTTAATAGGCCTAGTGCTGAATTGGTTATGTTGTAAGAGCGTGCTCCCTGCAGCAGCTTCCCAATTGGTTCACTCAAAAGGAAATCTGTTTTTCTTGTTGCTCAAACTTCGTAGGGCAATACGCCGATTTTAGAGTGAAATTTATATTTATTTTGTATCTAGCTCAGGTGAACACTGTACACCAACCAAACTTAGAACTAAAATTCTGTTTGTGTAATTTCAATAACAACATGACGATGTGGGCATGCATAGTGTGAATATTGTAAAAGAGGAAGAACGTGAAAATCTCAAAGAATGTTATAACACATGAATAATCATCCTGCAAAATGTGCTAAATATTGTTTCAAAATAGTGGAGTACTATCTTTATACACTGAATGTTACGTTGTAACATGGTGAATAGAATGCAGTGTACCTAGCTTGAAGTTCGTACCCAGTGGATAGTGGGTGAACAGTCAGTGTTTAGGAATGAGCTTTCGCATCAGTACTATACATACAAAATGAGGAGAATAACTTGTGAATACCCCCAAGTATCACACAATGATAGTGAATGTACTTTTTGGGTAATTTCCACAAGTGAAAACGACGAAATGGCCAGAATAACCGGCACTGTAACAGGGCGACCTCTAAGTTAATGGATATGTCAAAACATAATGTGACAATGTTCTATCCTATGAAAAATAAGTACTTCTCAATGTCTCGCTATTGGGGCTAGCCCAGGCCTCGTAAGGTCTGGAAATTCCAATATTACCGAAATGAACTTAAATTATGGATTCTATTTTTCTTAATTTTCTTAATTTTGTTAATTCCGGGATTTACTCAGAAACGCACTTTATCACTCGATAATGGTCTAAATTTGACTTCGATAAATTGTCTCTGAGATATATGACAGAGTTTAAGTGTTAGAAGCTGAATATGTTTAAACCACAAGTCCTCACTGCCATGAAACAATCGTGAAGGCCACTTGGAATCTCATTTCTTCAAATGAGATTGTATCATCGAGCCAATGTGACTGCACACCTTCAAGAGTACGCAAAATCAATACTGCAAGAAAGGAGCAAACTTCTAGACGCAAGTGAGATATGCTACACCCTTTTGAGTACATTTGGATTACAGCAACAATGGTTGGTGACTGATGAGAAATCTTCAGCGGGCAAAAAATGTAAAAGATTATATAGTCTTAGATGCAGGATGTATGGACAGAGATATCGGGTAAGAAGTTAATGGATATAAGATCATAAGGCTTCACGCACCTTCAAGCACACTAAGCAATATTTGCAGAACGGAAATCACTTTCAGATTCTTCTTCGTAAGAGCTCAGCTTTTCCTTCCATACGTCCATTCCCCGTGTCTCAGCACCGTGATCAACTATGGACTATGATACTAACGGCGTACTTAACTTATGGAGGACGCAAGTTTTAATTTTGGTTAATTCTGGGATTCTGTACACGAATCCCATAATTTAGGAGACCTGGGCTAGCCACATCCTACCCTCTTGGCTTAATATATATATGGCTACATATATCTTGCAGAAAACAGCCATACCAGTCCAGCATTACACCCTAGAGGCAAGTCAAACATCAGGCAAGGTGATCTAAGTACATTATTAACGTGGTGAGCTTATATTCACACTTGCTGAATGGGTAGATCCAGTTTCCTCCTTGAGTGAAAATGAATAAATAACAACAAAAAATAGATCTGACCCTCAAAAATCTACACCAAGTAGTGTAGCAAAAAATATGAAAGGATTTCCATCAAGTCATGGATGAATATAAATAGGGGCATAAGAGGTATTATGCCCTAACACCAAAACAATGGAAAATTTTTCCATATCATTAAGATATCTAACCAACTACCTGATGCTTTGTAGGCTCATCTAACAGCGCCTTTTAGCTTTCGTTTATTCGGGATTTGGCCCAAACTGTTTGGCAGATTCCCACATATTACTCGCCCGTTTGCCACTTTGTTTTCAACGATTTTCACGGTTATAAGGTCAGGCTCAAGGCTTCATCAATAGGCTCGAGTACAGGATTCTGCAGATGAGTTCAACCGTTGGATCATACCAGGCGATTGCTTGCGCAGGAAGCTATCAACGGCTGAGATCAACAGTTATGTTTTGTGTAGTTTTTTTGTATAAATAGAGTAGAATGAAGGTAGGGATCAATGTAACTTCATTCTCATTTTCAGTTTTAGAACAAACACTTGGGGAAACACTTTTGAGAGACAAATTGTAAGGGAAAGACAATTTGGGGAAAAGTGAGTACGAGTGTGTAATCTGAGAAACCTAATAGTGATTTGATCTTCGTTGCTGGATGTAGGCACATTGCCGAACCAGGGTATATCGTGTGTTCACTGTTATTCCGCATTTTGATTTGATTGCATGTTAGATCCTGGTTAGCGTATTGTTCAAGTTACGTCTGTGTTCTTGATTCATTACCGAGGTTTACACTACAATTGGTATCAGAGCCATCACCATCAAATCTATTTTGAACACGATGGGTCTCGCGAAGATGGAAATCGAACGCTTCAATGGCAAAGGAGATTTTGCTTTGTGGCGTCAGAGAATGAAGGCAATTCTTGTTCAGATGAAAATCTCCAAGGCGATCGATACTGAAGCCAAACACGCTGAATCGGTCACGGCTGAAGACAAGGTAGAGATGAACGAGCTTGCATACAGCACGATCGTCATGTATCTTGGAGACAAAGTTTTGCGAGAAGTCGCCAATGAGAAGACTGCCATTGGCGTGTGGGCGAAGCTTCAGAGCCTGTACATGAAGAAATTCCTATCGAGAAGGATCTATCTCAAGGGAATGCTTTTTGGATTCAAGATCCAAGAAGACAAGCCGATTGAAGACTATCTTGACGAATTCAATCGGATCGTCATTGATCTCGCCAATATCGATGTCGATACTCTGATGAAGACCAAGTGATCTTGATTCTAAACGCTTTGCCTCCCTCATATGCAAATTTTGTCGATGCTATGAAATATGGGCGATCCTCAATCACCACAGAGGATGTTCAGTTGGCATTGAAAGCGAAGGCTCTTCAATCTAGAGGCGAGAAGAAATCTGCACCTGAAGGTCTTCTTGTTCGCGCTCAACCAGACAAGAAGTCATCTAAGAAGAAGAAAGGGAAGCCGAAGCCTGAAGATCAAGAGAAGCCCTTCGCGTACAAGTGCTACAATTGTCACAAGGAGGTATATATGAAGAAGGATTGCCCTGAACTGAAGAAGGATCCAGGTGCCTCTACTTCAAAGATTGGAAAAGCCGCCGTTGCTGAGAATGACGGCTACGACAGTGCTGAAGCCCTAATGGTCATTACAGATCGACCCAGCTCCGAGTGGATTCTTGACAGTGGGTGTTCTTTCCACATGACATCCAACAAGGAGTGGCTTGAGAACTACGCTGACTTAGATGGGATGGTTCTTCTTGGCAATGATAAACACTGTCAAGTAATTGGCACTGGTTCCGTGTTTCTCAAGAATCATCTGGGCAAGGTCAAGATCCTTCAAAATGTCAGGTACATCCCTGAACTGAAAAGAAATTTGATTTCTCTTGGAGTTTTGGAATGAATGGGATCTTGACTGTGTCCAAGAATGAAAGAGATGTACTGCAAGGTGTTCGACGAAATGGCTTGTACTTCCTCACTGCACAAACAATAACTGGCCATACTGCTGTTGCTTCAAGAGATGTGAATTTGAGGTTGTGCCATCTAAGGTTGGGTCGTGTCAGTGAAAGAGGTATGACAGAACTGGCTAAGCAAGGATTCCTTGGTGATGAAAGGATCACTGCCTTGGATTTCTGTGAAGAATGCATCTATGGCAAGGCATGCAGGGCAAAGTTTGGTAAGGGAATCCATAGATCAGAGGCTATTTTGGACTATGTCCATACTAATCTCTGGGGTCCATCAAAAGTGCCTTCTC